TACTTCTTCAGGGTAAGATATTATATCCTCTTGAAAGAACGACATTGTTGCTATTACTTGGAAACCACAGCTTCTCTGGACATTATTAGTATAAACATGAGACATGACTCTAAGCCAAGGTTGGCAAACCACAGCCCATGGGCCAAATCCAGCCCGAGGCCTGCGCTGGTTAATAAAGTTTTGTTGGCACCCAGCCCTGCTCATTTGGCTGCTCACACACTGCTCCACACAGCAGAGGGGAGGGGCTGCTGCAGAGACCCAGGTGTTCCCGAAGCCTTCAAGACGTGCGGTCTGGACCTCTGCCGCCTGTGCTAAGTAGAGGGTCGGTTCTTAAGGGTCAGCCATAGATTTTGATTCAAAGGGGAAAAAAAAAAAAGAACTATTTTCAATTTAGACTGAACTGAGTCATGGGTCTGTAAAGAGATCTGTTTGAGCCACAGGGTCGTATCAATTTTACTGTAGAGACTGAATTCCTTTGATGAAATCCTCTTGTGATGTGACAGCCAGGCAGACCCAATCTGAAGGACATCAGAGAGGTGAGTGTGTGGCCAACCTTCATCTTTGAAGCACATTCTGAAACAGTGTAAGTCCCATTAAAATTCGGCAAGATTTTATAATGAAATGCCACATACCCGATAGTTTTCATTTTAGTAAATTGGTATTCCAATGAATGAAATATAAAGAAAACAATTCACACTGGGATTCTGTAAACAGTCGTGTTGTGCCTGTGTACGTGTGTGTTGTAACTTGTTCCAGAGTTTCAAAACAAATAAAAGAAAAAGATCTGTTTGTCTTCCTATTTCGCTTTTTGAACACTTGCATACAGCAATATCATTTCTTGTCATTTCCATTCCCCGTGACTCCGAGCAAGCCCAGAGCACACTGAAGGTCACCTTGCAGTAATGGCTATCTAGATTCAAGGGGGTCGCTGCATCCGCTAGGACGGCTGCTAAGAGCAGTAAAACTTACTCTGAGCTTTTGGGTCTGAGCTGCGACCCCATTTGGATGCATCATGGCAATAAAGATGGGAACGTCACCGAGAGGGCTGCCTACTCCTCCAGCGATGCTGATTCCCAACGAGTCCGACGGGCCCTGTCACGGAACAGGCACAGTGGTGTGATCAGAGCGACTCTTTTCATCAACATTTTCTTTCTTAGGCTCAAAATTGCATGATTCAGTCTGATCGTCTAGGTTTGAGAGTGGAGACTGGAACTCAAGACTGGCACTCAGTCTTTACTTTGAGAGAGGCCGTTAGCATGGCAAGCAGGCCTCTCTCTACGAAGTAAGAGAGATCAAGGTTCACCAGATACAAAATGTGTGTAGGGCTGATGAAAACCAGGTCAGCGGATCAAGTGAAAAGACCATACCTTGTGGAATCAGAGACAACTGTGTTCACATCAGGCACTCACAACTGAACACCTGGGTCTGGGAAGAGGCCCACAGCGCTCACGGAATCACGAGGCCTACATTTACAAATGGGAGCTAATGACACAGCTCACAGGAGGCTGTAGGGACTCTGAAGGGAAGTGATGATGGCATGAAGGGTCCATCAGAATGTTCAGACAGAGGAAGAGCTTCGTAAATGGCAATTGCTTTTCCTTCCCGTCTTGTGCCTGCCATTCTCAAGAGGAACTAGGAAATATCGGTTACAGATAGAAGCTCACCCATCAGTGAGCAAGACTATTGTTTAGTGTGGGCCAGGCTGATGCCAGTTTTTGATGATACTGAATAAGCAAAGAATGATGCTGTGCCAACCATGGACTGTCATTGCTTAGGACATTCAGCAAAAGTCTTTCATCCAAATTGCATTGTGCTATTTCCATGGCACATAATACTTTTTTTTTTTCCGGATGAAAGGTGAAAGTCAACAATGAGGAAGATGCTTATGAAGATAGCTCTGCAGACAATGGAGTTTACATTGTGTTACCTTTTTTATTTCGACTGTTCTTAATCCTTGTATTTCAGATGCCACTGAAAAGGTTAAAAAATTCAATATCATTATTAACGCTTTTAGGTTCATAAAAATTTTCGTTGACTCTCAAAGCTGGATGCTACGAAATGGCACTCCTTGATTCTTTTTAAGGACCGCTGGTAGCACACCAGGTGAGCACTCAGCTGCTACCTGAAAGGAGGAGGATGACGCTCTCTGCCCCCCTCGGGTTTCACAGCCTCAAACACTCCACAGGAATGCTAGGAGTCAGAACTGACTTCACTGCACTGGGTAACATTCTTTCTTGCTATTTTTTAAATGAGCCCAAACCACACACCTTGCTGTTGAGTTCATTCTGACTTACGGACTGCACCTGAGAACCCCAGAGAAAGCCCCACTGTTTCCAGTGCTCTCCTCTTTATGAACGCGGACAGCCACACCCTCCCCCTTTCAGCCATTGCTGGATTTGAGCCGCGACCTTTCAGGTAGCACACAAGTGCTTTAACCTCCGCAGCACCAGGGCATTCTACTGGAAAGGGCTGCTGACTGTTCCTCTTACATACCATAGGATGGTCTTACATAACAACATTTTATTTCCTCAATGGGAACAGTGCCTGTTGTAGCCGATCTCTCCCTTCTTATTTTAAGCATTGATTATATAACTATGTCAAGGACAGAATGTGCTCTGGATCGAAAGTCACATGTGCACAGCTGAGAGGAATAAAGTCACGGTTGCATTAAAAAAAAAAAATCCATGGACTTCAGTGCCTACATTTCTAGACTATTAGTCACGTTGAAAACAGAGATTGCCATATGGTGTGTTTCTTTCGTTTGAACAACTCTCAACCAATGCTCCAAGCCAAAACCCCTCTGCACCAGGATTTCAAGTAGTTAAAACACAGGGGGATCGTTCTGATTTTCTCAATCAAACTTTCCGCAAATTGCAAGGAAAGACGGTTTCACTTAATGGCAGCTCCCGATGTAGTGGCGTGATAGTAAACAGAGACGGGAAGCAACATCAAGTAACACCATCTGCTTAGTAGGAACACATGGCAGAAATCTGTATCTAATATCTGGTATCTCTGTGGAGGAAACACCGATGGACAAACTGTCACAAGCACACATCACGACATTCTAAATTGCTGCCACCGTTCCCGCTTCTTGCCCTTCTGCTGGGATATGAGGTGGTTTGAGGGAGGAAAGGAGAGCGCAGAGGCAAATTAAAACAGAAAATCCTTTGTCTGGATGGTCAAAATTCAAAACAGGAAATTCTGCTTAAAATATCAAAGCAATCTTACGCGCATTTTTCTTTGAGGTGCTGTCCAGAGACTCCGAGGTCCTGGACCCGGACAGCGGAAAGCTGAAGGACGACAGGCTGCCTTCACTCACCTACGAATAAACAACAAGGATTTCAGAAACACTTCCAAGTAGTCATACCCTTGACAGAGCACACGTGTTAGAACCCCAGTTCTCCCAGTTCATGAAGAGAGAAACCGTTCTACAACAACAATTGCTAACTTAACAGATAATTCAAATGGAGCTTCTGCTGGTCTTTTTTTTTTTTTTTTTTTTTAGGGTGGATCACAGTGACTCCAATGGACCTAAAATGAGAATTTGTAGATTTCCATGATCTCATTCAAACAAACCCTCTCCAAATCTCGAGACCACCCTCCAACTCACCCAGCCTGGTGTTATCTGGAAACTCGACAGCTTGCCCAACGAACCTACTCTTAGGGTAGAAGAGGCTTTGCCACAGGTTGGTGATACATATGCCTCACATAAACACCAAACACCAAACTCACTGCCATCCAGTGCTGACTCATAGTGACCCCCATGGCTTTCTATAACCGTTGATGGGGGGAGAAAGTCCAGCCTGTCTCCTACGGAGCTGCTGGTGGTTTCAAACTGCCAACCATGCAGATTGCAGCCCAAAGCATAACCACTACACCACCAGGGCTCCTGCCCGACAGCCTATCAATAACCTTTTGAGTTCTTTCCCTTCTGATAACCTGGTTCTTCTGCGCAGTCCTGGGAAAGCATTCCATCTCAGCACGTGAGTATCGGTTAGAACCAGGCCATGCCTGTCAAATAGGCACGGAAAAGGATAGGTCTCAACCTGTATTTTATGTATCGGTGAAGGAGCCACAACAACAACAACGTAGAGAAGCAAAAAAGTCATTGGGAAGACCTCACCAGACCAATTTGGACAACATTTAGGAGAGAGGATTCTGACAAGTCACTTCCTGGCCAAGAACCCTAACTTGCCCTAATTTGTATGCCCGGTAATTCCTGAGAAATCTGGTATATACTCATAATCCCCTGAATTTATTTCCTGGGAGACATGTATAAATCTGTAAATCCCCTTTTTCCGGTGACTTGCCTTGGTGACTCTAGTCCAGGCTTGCTCCCTTGTGGGATTAACGAAAGTAAGATCTTTCTCCTTCATTTTCACCTACTCTTTGTTTCTAAAGCCATGCTAAGTGAGCTCTGGGTTGGTCACAAACTGATGCTGTACATGTGAAATAAAACCTAGCAAATCAGGGCCACCCAAGAGGAACCTAAAGGCAGTAATTAGGGGAGTGAGTCAGGGTCTTTAAAGATCGGCTGAGGAACATTGGCTTCGGTTATCAGCCAATAAGGTTATCAGCCAATAAGGCAGCAGGGCTTACCAAGAATCTTCAACTACAGGACAGCACTGACAATTGGCCCATGTGATTTTGTTTCAGTTGAGTGCTAATTGATAAATGTTTTCTAGAACGTACTGAAACAGTTGCATCTGTAGGCTCTTCATAGACTAGGAGGTTGTGTGGGACGAAGAACTGTTTGATCTTTGTCTGTGGTGTTTGGAAGATGTTGTCCTGCACCATCAAGTTGGTTTTGACTCACAGGACCCCTGTAGGACAAAGCAGACCTGTCCCGTAGGAAGGGACCCTGGTGCCGTAGCAGTGACAAGTTGGGCTGCTAATCTCAAAAAGCTGCGGCTGGAACCTACCTGCCTCTCCAAGGAAGAAAACGGACGGACGCTGTGGGCTTCCACAAAGATCTCCGCGTTCAGAAATCCAAAGAGGCAGTTCTACCTTGCCTTTCGGTTCACCTCGAATCGGAATCGACTTGAAGGCAGTGGTTTTATATCTATATGGGAGCACGTGGCAACATCTTTTCTTCCTTGCAGCAGCTGGGTGGGTTTAAACAGCTGGCCTCACTTAACAGCCAAGTGCTTAACAATTCTCCCACCTGGGTTCCTTTCCTCGAGATGCGATCCAAACCCAACCCAACGGAACCCCTTGCTGATGAGTTGATTCTGACTCAGGGTGACTCTCAAGAGCATAGTAGAACTGCCCCACAGGGTGTCCAAGAAAGTGGACAGCCACATCTGTCTTTGTCCTACAGCAGTTGATAGCTCCCCGGGGGCAGGGCGCAGGAGATTCAGAACTGCTGATCTCTGTGAGCAGCCAAGCATTTAAGGACTCACTGTGTCTTGGGATTTCTGGTACAATCAAGGTGCTTTTGTTTGCTAAAAGAGAAAACCCTTAAACTTACACAAATGTTCGGGGCTACATAGGCCATACCCAGGGAAGAGGCTTCAAGAAGGGAGGGGGGAAAGGTACAGTGAACCATGCATATGCATTGGGTCATGCATATGCCTTGAGGTCCCAATGCCTCAGAAACTCTGACCCTGAGCTTCACCTTTCTGGGCTTCATGGTTTGGTGAGAAGTCTGCCATGACCTCTCCAAGACCTTGCCTGATGTGTCCCTTCGGATATAATAAATGGGTAGCCGTGAATACAGGTGATCGTGCTCTTGAGTTTTGTGAACTGTTGTAGCAAATACAAACCCATAAGGAAGCAAGGAGAATGCTTGGACCCTGAGGCTAATTCTGAGTAGGGCTGCAGAGGAAGTAGTCAGGCAAAGCATTAACTGATGGAGAGCAAGCTTTCGAAGGTCCTGGTCAATAGGCATCCAGCAAGAACAGAGTGCTTCTAGCTTGTGCCCTACCGGCTAGGAGCTAGAGAGAGGCTGGCGGGTCTGCTTAGACTTCCGAGACTTCGGCTCCTACTCCTGGCCTGGCTTGCTCTGACCTGCTTGGGGATGGCTGGAGGTAAAGGCTGATCTAACTCTAGAGGGTGAGCGCCAGGGAAGCAGTGCCGCAGAAGTGGCTGATGCTGAGGGAAGGTGATGTGGGAGGATGAAAGCACTCGTCCTTTTACAGATGTCAGGTGAATTCCCCTTGATTCTGACTGGTCAGTGTTAATGATAGGGTTTACATAAGCAAAAATCTCTGTCATCGAGCTGAATCTGACTCCTAGCCACCCCATGGGGCAGAGGAAAACTGCTCCTTTGGATTCAGGGGTTAAATATCTTTAATGAAGACAGATTCATCTTTTGCTTGTGGAACAACTGGTGGGTTTCAACTGTCAACCTGTAGTTAGCAGCTCCCTGGGACACCCACTATCCCACCAGGGCTCCTGGGGCTTAGCCCTTTCATGCAGCATCTATCAGCCACAACAGTCAGCTACTGAGATTAGAGGGGAAATTATGGCCTTAATAAAGTTTCTTAGAATGACTTAGACTACTCAGTATCTGTACCTTGTCTGCATATCAACTGCCAACTCTTTTCCTTCCCTATCCCACACTGCATACCAGTTACTCTGAGCTACATGTAATTCAATCTCCTTGCTTTCTTGTACACTCTTCCTGGAACTCCTTCTTAGATGATTCTTAGGACTGATTCGGTTTGGAGACTGAATTCCTCTTCTCTGAATCATGAGACTACATGTAGGCAAATGAGGGTAGAGCCATCCAAGCAACCTGGGCTTGCCTTTACCAGAACACCGAGGCAGGTCTGTGCTCTCTGCTGAGACTGTTTCTTAAAGACCACAAATGAGTTGTACAAGGCACTTTCGATGAAATTGTCAAGAAATCCCCCCCCCCCCCATTTTATTAGGGGCTCATACAACGCTTATCACAATCCATACATACATCAATCGCGTAAAGTACATTTGTACATTCATTGCCCTCATCATTCTCAACACATTTCCTTTCCACTTAAGCCCCCAGCATTAGGTCCTCATTTTTCCCCTCCCTCCCCACTCCCCTCTCCCTCATGAGCCCGTGATAGTTTATAAATGGGTATTTTGTCATATCTTGCCCTGTCCGACGTCTCCCTTCACCCACTTTTCGGTTGTCTGTCCCCCAGGGAGGAGGTCACATATAGTTCCTTGTAATCGGTTCCCTCTTTCCTACCCTTTTTTTATAATTCCATTTTCCCACAAACCTTTTAAAGCTCGCTCATACTTATTTCAAGATTCTTTTCCCGGAAGTACCTGGCATTAACGAACAGAACCATTTATAATACGAGAACAGACGTTTTCAAGCCACATTCGGCTGTGCTCTTGTTAACTTCCTGCAAGCACACTTCAATGCAATTGACTCAATTCTGACTCATAGGGACCCTGTAGAGCAGAGTGGACCTGCTCCTGCGGATGCTCTTTACAGAAGCAGAGATCCTCATCTTTACGCGATGAGCTCATTAGAAGCGCACAAACATCGATACAGGTTTGAACTAGGACTGAAAGTAGGCAACAATCAAATATCTTCATTTTTTTTACTTCCTTATTCAAGTGACTGAGTTTTGGCTAGCCAGTGCAAGAAGCTTTGCCTTTTCTAAGTAAAGTCTATGTTTTGGGAGAATACTTCTTCTGGAGCCTTTTATATGAAGTTAAGGTTAATGTTCAAAACCACTGACATAAAAATGGCGTTTCCTCAGGCTCTGGGCTTGGCTGTTGTGCTGGGACCCTCTGATTTGAGAAACCCAGCCACTGGATTTGTGGTGCTGAGCTAGCTGCTGCAAACAGAGGGCAGGGAGGAGTCACGCATGACAATGAAGGCAATTTGGTTCAGTCCCACCGAGAGGAAACCTCTGAGGAAGGGAGAGGAGTGAATCTGCATGCAAGGAGGAAGGGAGAAGGGTGGAGAGATATTGAATAGTTGCCCTGAATCCCCTGTAGCTCTTCATATCATCTTCAATAGCAAATCAAGCTCTGTTGGTTGATTTGATGGAGTCGGGTCTCTAGGGGGAGGGGAATGCCGAGGTCTGCTTGGGAGAGCAGCACAGAGGCTGTAAGGGGCCAGGCTGATGAGACCACCGTCAGGGTTCTCTATGAAAGCCCCTGACAAGTAACTGACTGTCATCATGCTAACAAGCAACTGCACGAGACCCATACCCACCTGGCTGCTCAGAGACGGCCTCCTCTCCGAGTGGAAGGGGCCCGTTTTCATTCTTCCAACTTCCAAGGTTACCGTACCTAGAGAACACTGGGAGAGAGGGTGTTTTATAGAGTGGTTCAAATAAAATGCTGTCAGCTCTCTATAGGACTGAATTTTGAAAGGCATTTTCCTTTTAGAATTTCCAGTGGCGAAGATACAGCCAATCCTTTGTAGAAAAGGGGGCTTTAAAAAAATATTCCAATTAAGGAAAATATTAACAAAAAGCAGTAGCAGCAGTACCGATTGTATGTCTTGTTACCACATGATTTACATGGAAATTATTTCTACCAAGGCACAGAGAAACTGCGGCACTAATTCATGAAACACATTCATTTAGACTAGCCAAATGGACTAAATACGTCAGGGCTTAAAATACAAAACAAAACCAGTAAGACAAAGAACATAATTATTTGTTTAACGTTCTAAAGCAGAGATGCTCCGATAATTGGGTAAATTCTCTATTGTCACATTGTACTTGAACAGACCTATCAAAAAATACTTAAATAAGACAATTTACAATAAAGCCCAAACTGGAGGCTGATGTGGGAATACGGCTTTCACAGAACAAGCGCAGGAAGAGCCCCGAAATTACTGGAGCGTTTCCACCAGGAGAGGTATCCTGCACTTGCCGGCAGTGAGAAAGTCAGCTTAAAAGCTAAGTAGGCCACATTTCTGAAGGTGGGAGAGCACCAGAATCCCCTTGACCATGGACTAGCTACACAAGCCACTCTCATGAGCCCTGCCCCTCCCTTGCACAGTTGAAGTTTACAAGCCCTGAGACAACCCAAACAGGCCAGTTCTTACCTCGCTGGCCTCTGAGGGCTCTGCGTGGACAGCAGATGGCCTGGGGAGCGCGGTGTAGGCTTTCTCAGGACCCACACTAACATTTTGGTCATTTTTTCCCCCTTTGCCTTCTTTCCTGCTTTGTTCGCTAGTGCCCTCCCCATCCATGTACCCCATATCTGCACACACACCCTCCCACTGCATGGCACATACCCACACCCAATAACACTACCAAAGGAGCAAGAATCCCTACTGACAATACATTTTTTTTGTATCTTTGTTGTATTATAATGCTTTAATTTTTTTCTGGTTCTTTCACACTCCCTGTTCCCATGCGACCCATTTTGCTGAGAATACACCACCTCCCAAAACAAACAAACAAACAAACAAACAAACCAGGTAGACCTGTAGATTCAGCAACTCACCCTTTTTATCTTCTGAATGCTCTGACCCACCCACCTTCACGCTACCATAGCAACAGAACAGGCCCAAACTATACCTGACCCTTGGCTCCTTTTTCTTCCCTGAACATCCACTCATTGTTTCTTTATGCTTTCTTTTCCCTCAGGGGGAAAATATATATATATATCCATGAAACCTATTAATTCTGATTACCTCCCTTAAAATACATCTTGCCATTATTTTCCCATATCTCTTGACTTTATATGATAATTGCTTTTATTTTATTCTCTTTTCTTCCTCACTTCCCTACCTTTTATTTATTTATTTCCTCCCTTTTCTTTCTTTATAGTTTTTCGGCTTCTATTACACCTCTCATGTGTCACTACACAGAGCCAATTACCCCTACATGACAGAGCAGCTGATAAAGCACAGTAGCTGTACCACAGTGCTGAGGACCCCGTAGTCAACCACAGTAAACTAAAAAAAAAAAAAAAATCAAGAAAAACAGACCATTGAAAACCATTCAAACTTAAGCAAGTACTCTAAAGAGGCTCTGGATCTCCTGAAAACCGAATTCAGAAGAATATTGTTTAGATGCTTTCAAAGAACTAAAATCTTTAACCTAAAAGGAATCTCAGATGATAAATAATGAACTAATAGAATTGGGCAAGATAGTAAAATACCCGAGGAATAGAAAGGAAGAAGAGGAAATCAAATCAGTTTGCTAGAAGAAAATTATTCTGACACAATTAATGAGAGAACCAACAACCAAAAAAAAAAAAAAAGAGGAGAGAGAAAGAATGTGTCAGAAAAAAGCCTGAGAGTGATGTGGGGTACCAAGGAAAACAACCCCTGAACCCCTGCCTCATCAGGAACCGGGAAGCAAGAAGAAGCAAACAAGCAAATGTACAGAGGCAACAGTATGAGAAAACATGCAGGAAAATGTCCTCTACATCACAAAGGAGGAGAATATAACGATTCAAAAGGCTGAGAGAACCCTAAATAGGCTAGGTCTCAAAAGAAAAATACCATGACATGCTGTAGTCAAACTCTATGTCTAGTTTCAAGGACAAGGAAAGAATCTGGAGAGTAGCTGAAGGAAAAAGAATAGTCGTTCACCAAGAAACATCAATAAGGATGGGCTTGGACTCCTCAGTTGAAGCTATGCAGACAAGATCACAATGAAGTGACATATATAAAATTCTGTAAGGAAAAAGAAACCACTAATGAGGAATCCTCTAACAAGCAAAATTATCCGTCAAAAATAATGGAGAAATAAAGGTATTTCCAAACAAGCAACGACTAAAGAAATGTGTTAAAAAAAAAAAAAAAAGCCAGCATTACAAAATCCTGGATAACTATGGACAGAGAATCAACAACAGCAGACAAACCTGAGATCATCACACAGCACAAAAGCACCCAAAACTGAATACAATGAAAGCAGCACTCAAAACACAGAAATAGAGGTAGAACAAAGACACCAATAAAGCCAAGGTGGGGCAAAAAAGGAGAGAAAATAAGCCAAACAGAAATACAGTAAAATGATAGCAACAAACTTGCATACATCAATAATGACATCGAATGTCAATGGATTAAATGCGCCAATCAAAAGACAGTGAGTAGCAAACTGTACTAGAAAACAAGACCAATCTATAGGCTGCCTACAAGAGATGCATCTTAAACTCAAATACAAAAATAGACTAACAGGCAAAGGATGGCAAAAATCTTACCAAGCAATGTCAACTATTAAAAAGGCAGGAGTACCAATATTAACCTCTGATAAACTAAACTTCAGGGCAAATAATAGTGAGTGACAAGAATGAATACTTCATAATGATTAAAAGAACAATACACCAGGATTATATAACCTTAATAATCATATATGCATCCAATGTAAGATCCTTGAAATATATCAAATTCTCAGAGTTGAAAACAGAAATATATAGCTTGATAATAATGGTAGGAGACTTCAGCACCCCACTCTCAAAAAAAAAAGGAGAGAACCTTATAATGAACCTTATAGATATGCAGTCTTATGTGTCCAGAGGATTATTTATGCAAGGTTTTTAAAGGAATTATTACTAAATTAGAATAACAAGCAGTAGTATGAATAAATATGTAAATTATACAGTCATTTATGACTTTGATTATGTATTATTTCCAAACTAGTTTTTAAAATGCCAGGTTTACTGGTTTTAAAACGATTTGTTCTTTTTAGATGTTTCTGTCTCTCCTTAAAATGTATCTAGCTTAGAAAAAATAGTATCTCTAAATGGAAGCCACCTCTCCTTAATATTTAGAAGACTTTCAGGATGGGTAAGGTTTATCAATGATTGATTTTAATTGTCTACTTAATTAACAACTAAATTTATATACATATTCATATTCGATATCCTTCAAAAGCCATAAAAGAAAAACAAATCTACTGCCATCGGGCAGATGATGACTTATACACAGCCTATAAAAGTTTTTGAAACTATATCTCTTTATGGGAGCAAACCTTTACATCTTTCTCCGGTGGAGCAGCTGGTGAGTTTGAACCACCAACACTGGTTAGTAGCCTAAAAACCTAGCCTCCAGGGTGCCTTACAAAAGCTGTAAAAATTACCAAAAAGAGGCCCACTTGAAAATTCCCCCATGAAACTGAGCCACTCAGGAGCTGTCCATTCACACAGGATACCTCGGATAACTCTCCCCTGTTGGGAAGCTCCTGTCACACAGACCACATGGGAACGAATGGTGACAGTTTTCCAGTCAACATTAACTATACTTTTTCAGGTCTTAAAACACAGGTTCCGGAAAGCAAACCATGAATTCAGCGTCAGCTTATATTTATTAATGGAAACACCATCCCTTCGAAAAACCAGAATATTCTCTGGTTGGAAATCTGCCTAGTGCCAAGAATTATATTTTTAAATGACTACTCTGTGTTTTACAAATTAATTTTTTAAAAGAGACTGATTTGGTCTTTCTAATCAGAAAACTATCCTTTATGGAGAGTTTGTTTTGAAGGAATTTAACCTCACCACGTGAAATGTGTTTAAGACTAATGTTGGGAGCTATAATTGTTTAAAATACTTCCAGGTGAAGGTGCTGGCAGATAATTCTGAACTAAATTACCTTCAGATCCTAGGGATGACTCACAACACTGATATTAAATGTCAAATTTAAATAAATGAATAGTTTTGAGTCAGAATAAGATTTGGAAAATATTTCCTTCTAATCAACATGACATGTCTATTTCCTTTTATGAGCAAAATCTTTCTCTTTTAAAGGGGAAACGCTTTCTCCGCTTTCATCTGTGGAAGAAATAGGAAGTTATCCACGCTGATATGTGCAAGCAGAGGTCCAGGAAGTGGCTGGCATAATGAAGGCATGCACTCCTGAGTGGCCCAGGGCAGCCTTCTGGGCTCATGTCACCCACACGGAGCTTTTCTACCGAGTTCCATGGCTGTGAAAGCATTCGCGGACTTCAAAAGGCGATGGAGGGTGAAGATAAGCATTTCCACCCCCACCGCACCCCCCACCAACCTTTGGAGCCCTGCTGGCCTAGTGGTTATGCCTTGAGCTACTAAATACAAAGTCAGCGGTTTAAAACCACCAGCTGCTCCTCAGGAGAAAGATGGGGATATGTACTGCTGTCAAGAGGTGTCAGTCTCAACAACTCACAGGGACAATTCTACACTGCCCTCTAGGGTTACCATGATTCAGTACTGACTCAATGGCCGTGAGTCTGGACTTTTCTCCTTTGTGGTCTGGGCATGTTCTTTACTCTCAAGAGGAAGATTCATACAGCACTCCTTGAAGACAAAATAGCCATAGCACCGGTGCTCAGTTCAAAATTCTTACCACCATTACCTAAATGTACATTCCCAAACAGTTAGTGATAGATTTACTATTTAGAAATTTGTTCATGAAACATGTGTGTATATATATGTGTGTGCGTGTGTGTGTCTGTATGTATATATGCAAGTATATAGATCTGCAATGTAGTGAATTAAGTTAATTTGGCTCTTTTCTTTTCCTGATGGCTCTAAGAGGTGGGTGTAGTAGTTACATAATCTGTTGTCAAATGGAAACATAAGAGTGAAGAGGTGGAGTATAGCCTGTCAATCTGGTGGCAGCTTGATGACCTCATTTGGAGGCTCTAAGGAGATAAATAGCTCGCTGGAGGTGGGGGACACTCACTCACACCCTGGGAGACATTCCTGTTGAGAAGACACATGGAGCTATGCTTATGGCAGCCATAGCCTTGGAGCTGGAGGAGCCACGTGGAGACCCACACTAGCGCTAAGATGCTTCCTCCGCCATTGGATTCAACAGACTTTCCACCCCCTGGCCTGTGATCTTCCTGAACTCAGCGTCATTTCATGTGTTGTGTGAGTCTGAAGAGGAATTTACAGACTGGTGGACATATGGGCTAATCTTGGACTTATGGACTTGATCTGGACTGGGCTGGGATGTTTTCTTAATGGACAAATACCCTTTATATAAAGATCTTTCCTATATGCATAAGCATATTTATGAATTTGTTTCTCTAGTCTACCCGGACTAACACACGGGGGAAGATACTGGTTGTATTATGTGATTCCGCTGTGAGTGACTGCCCACAAGCTGGCTATAAAGTAGCCTTCTCAGGAGAAGTACATAAGTGGGCAATTTCACTACCAGCAAGAGCCAGGGCCCTGAGATCCCTGCTCCATGAGTCTCCTTGAGCCAGGAGGCAGTTTTGACACCAAAGGCATGGTGGAAGAGCGAAGCAGCAGAACCCAAGGGCAGAGCATTTTCTTGGGTCTAGGTAAGAAGGTGTGGGAAGTTACTGACTAAATTATGTGATTCAACTGTCAGTGACTGTTTAAGAGTTAACTGAAGTTGCTATTTTGCTCGTTATATAACTGGCCACTTCAAGAGTGGGAGGTAACTCTCAGTATCGGCGCGAGAGAAGAGGCAGGATGGGAGAGCAAACTTTGGCCCTGAAATCCCTGTGCAGTGCCCCTCCTCGATTCAGGAGAAGGCTTTGAGTTCTGAGCAGCGATCGAGGAGCAGCAACAGCAGAACCAGGAGCCAGAGCAGGAGGCGGACCAGTTCCTGGCATCCCTAAAGAACCTGTGACCTTCCTGAGCAGGCAGAGGCTGGCTAGACAAGGCAGTGAAGAAACTGAACGATGTATCCCGAGTATGTCTCACCTGAATTGCCACTCGTTAACTTCACTAATAAGCCACCGCATTAGTGAATTCGGTGAGTTCTGACAGTGAATTACAGAACCAAGTAGAAAAGCAGAGCGCTGTCGGGGGGCAGTGCTGTTTTAAGAATGGCAGTCTGATGTTCATTTTTCACTGTACTTACATACCATTGCACACAATTATTTTTGGCACTTGATTTGTACCTTTAACAAAGCTGCAACCGCTTCCTGGGTGGCATTCCGGACGTCTTCGCCATTGACCATCAGTATCTGGTCTCCCTGCATCAGCCTTCCATCAGCATCTGCAATTCCTCCTTTGACAATATCGGACACAAACACGCCAGTATCATTTCTGCAAACACAATTTTGAATTTCAACATTATTTTTTCTCCACTGCAATGTGATGTTTATTTAAGGAAAAGCTCGTGCTTTAAATGAGATTTTAGTTTGATTTGTACGACTAAGAGCTTTAGCTTTTGAGCAACACGGAGGAAACATCAGAATTAGTGATTTGTGATTAAAAACAGCTAACGTTTTAGAATGTTCTACACATTAAAACAATGCTTCATGAACATGTTCATTTGCTCACAGTCTTACACTGTGGGAGAAAGTGGGTGCCACTGTTCTGTTTTATGGGTCACAGATTTCAGTAAATTGCAAGAATGGGACACAGAGCCAGTGGTCTGTTACTCTTTTTGTAAGGAGACGCCAATGGGCTCTTACTGTGGCTATGGAAACACATGGTTGCCATCATTACCAATATAATTAGCATTTCTGAAAATAAATGATGGGCATATCAACTAAATGTGCTAAATCCCCAGAGCAGCTCTACTCTGTCCTAGAGGGTCAGCTATGGGTTGGAAACAACTCCACAACATCAACTTAAGCCAGTGGTTGCCCCAAATTAAATATTCTGTAATGGCTTTTATTTTATGTCATATGGATCTAAAGGACCCTTGTGGCCCAGTGGTTAGACATTTGGCTACGAGCTGAAACACCAGCAGTTCAAATCCACCTCCGAGTTGCAAGGGAGAAAGATATAGTCATCTGCATCGGTAAAGCTGTACAGCTGTACAGCACACCCATGACGGGGCAATCCTCTTCCCATCTAACATGAACAAGATAGAGCTCTACAACACAAACAAGCACATTCTTTCTCCAATCCTTTTTAACAATTTGTAACAAAATTGTTAAAAAGCTAAAAACTACAATAAAAGCCATGTTAAAATACAAAGATAACTGAAGGTAAAAATGCATAATAAATCTCACTTGTTTTTTTGCAAGGCTATGCACCTTAAGCATGCCACTTGACCATCTGATTTTCTGCCTCCATTTTGGGAGTAAGAGGGTAGGCTTGGATAGTTCTTGTATGCTCTTCGCAAGGCAAATAATTTAGGAATTATTTGTGAAATGTTTTACAGACACCCAGGGACTCCATTTGTTGAAGTATTTGGCTATTCAAAATAAATTTTAATTGTCTGGTAGTGCAGGAGAACTGAACTTCTGATAGTCCAAATGAAGTGTTTAGTTTTTCAGACCTATTCCCACAGATTTAAATAAGATTCTTACATTCATTCTTATGCTAAAAAAATCAGCTTCAACACATTGGTATAAATGACCTTTTATTCACCTTTACAAAGCTCACTGGAGTACAAGGTGAACAAGGTATTGCTTTGGGCAGGCTGAAGAATGGTCATTCCAAAAGAGGGGTGTTATGACACAGAGCTCCCAATTTCCCAATTATTTGAAAGCTGATCACTGGCCCAAACAAAACAAAGCCCCCAAACAGATCAGAAATTGAGTTCGTAAGGGCTGAAAGATGGTGATTCTAACTCTGGGCTGTTGCAGACTAAACAAGAGCTTTAGCTTTTCACCGAGCAATGGTCCAAGAATGAGTGCTGACTTCGCTGAACTATCTGGGACATTCTGAGGGCCAGATGAAGATTAGCTCATGATACGAAGAGGAAGAAACACAGAGAAGACTCACTGGATTTTAGATTCATTACTACCAGGTGAGTATTTAAATAACTTAGGTACAGAGCTTGTGCGTGACCACATTAACAAATGTTCCTTGTCCCTTCCTTTTAGCTTTTGGTTCCCTTTCAGTGACAAGTTGCTGGCCCCCACGGCTTTCCTAATCATTATGGTCCTTCTCCCAGGCATAGCCTCCACCTCCGGTAAAAGACCTGGTGGCTTAGTGGTGATGTGCTGCTCAGGAGCCGCTCCCTAGGAGGAAAAAGGGCTGCCTGCTCCCTAAGGATTTAGTCTCCAAAATCCAGTTGTACTGGAGCAGCTCCACTCTGTCCGATAGGGTCCCTATGAGTCGGGGTGACTTTTGACTTGATGGCATTGAGTCATGATCACTTTGAGCCTCAGCTCAGGCATCATCAGAGAAGAAGCTGGATTATGTGAAGAAGAGTGTGGTATCAGGATTGGAGGCAGGCTTATTAACAACCTGCGGTATGCAGATGACACACCTTTGCTTGCTGAAAGTGAGGAGGACTTGAAGCACTTGCTGCTGAAGACCAAGATGCAGCCTTCAGTGTGGGTTCCAACACCATCTGCGGAAGACCGCACTCCTCACAATGGACCAATAGGTAGCAACGTGATAAAAGAGAAAAGGCTGAAGTTGTCAAGGATTTTGTCTTATTTGGATCCTCCATCAATGCTCATGGAAGCAGCAGCCAAGAGATCAAAAGATGCATTGCATTAGGTAAATCTGGTGACCTTTTTAGAGTATTGAATAGGAAGGACGTGACTTTGAGGACCAAGGTGTACCTGATCCAAGCCATGGTGTCCTCTATTGCATCATATGCAGGTGCAAATTGGACACTGAATATAGAAGACCATACAAGAATCGATACATTTGAATTGTATTGCTGGAGAAGAATACTGAAAATACCATGAACTGCTAAAAGGACAGACCAATTTATACTGGAAGAAGTTAAGTCCAGAGTGTTCCTTTAGAGGCAAGGATGGCAAGATTTGGTCTTACATTCTGTGGACATAATGTCAAGAGAGAGCAGTCCCTGGAAAAAGGCATCGTGTTTGGTAAAGTGGAAGGATGGTAAAAAAAGAGGAAGTCCCTGAACGAGATGAACTGTCGCAGGGACTGCATCCATGCGCGCAGGCATGGGGACAATGGTGAGGACGGTGCAGGACTGTGCAGTGTTTCCTTAGTCGTGCACACGGTGGCTATGGGTCAGAACTGACTCAGAGCACCTAACAACAGCAGGCAGCATTTTTCCAGGAAAATTTCCCTAACCTACTTCCTTTAGAGAAGACCACACGGTCCCTCTGTTTCCCTTTCTTGTCCTCATGGCTCTCCTACAAAGTACCTGTATCATTCAACTTACTGCATAGCCTTGTTACAAGAATGTATTTAATTTTAGCCTATCAGACTCTGAGTTGTTGAAATCAGGAATCATGTCTTGTTTAACCTTGTAAATATAGAAGAAACCAATGTATCTCCTGGTATAAAGCAGGTATTAAACAATTACCAGGTTGGCTTTGTCGGGAATTACTGAGTACCTTCACAATATCTCAAAATGTGACTTAGAAAGTTTACAACCGGTGTCCTTTGATCGTCTATTAGCAACTGAGTTGAGTCAGACACCTACAGAACTTGCAACTGAACCTCTACTACGGCATCATTCCTTTGGGAAGATTAGCCCATCACCCCCAAAAGGTCAGGAGCTCTCCCACTTTCCACCATGGGTTCATCTCCTCAGTCATACCTTTTACCCACAATGCTTAATCCCAGGCCTTTCCCTGGCTGCTTCTGCAGTTCGATGGTGAGGGTGTCACACACGTCTTCCTCTTTGTAAGGAGTCTCATCTCTGTAGAGGGTCAGGCGCACCCTTTGCGGAGTCTGTCTGAGGACATTTATCGCTTCATCATGTGTAGCCTTTCTCAGGTCTATCCCGTTGACCTGTTTAAATAGGGAGCATCGTGAGGAACCAGGTGAGGGAAGTGAGGCACTAAGCAAAGAAAGAAGGACAGAACGGAAGAATGGAGTGAGGAAGGAAGGGAGAAAAACTCACTAAACAAAACCACCCAGAGAGTGGACTTTTGTTCATTGCCAAGGTTATATGTATAGTATTCTATACCTCTAAAATCTGATCTCCAGCCCAGAGTCTCCCATCCTTACACGCTGCTCCTTCTTCATAAACTTCATGGATAATAATGGCACCCTAAGGACCAAAACAGAGCAAAACCAGGCTGGATGCTACCACCCAAAGAGTGGTAGTCCCAAGTGGAATCAGTGAATGCTGCAGTTGATAAACATCAGTAAGAGTTGGACACCTACATGTGGCCACTCCGAAAATCAAAGAAAAGTGCGACAACACAATGTTTGCCCAAAGGCTCAAATATACATTTTTGCTAATGGTAGAACCAGTTAAACAGAACACATAATAAAAAGTAGATATGTCCAGATGTAATAAGGAGTCTTACTGGCATCATGGATTCTGTGGAGAGCTGCTAACCACAAGGTCCGCAGTTTGAATCCACCAGCCGCTTTGTGGAGGAGAGAAGTGGCTCTCCATTTTCATAACCAGCTACCAGTCTTAGAAACCCAGAGGGGCACTCCTACCCTACCCCCACAGGGTCGCTGTGAGTTGGACTCAACTTAATGGCAGTGAGTTTTTGGTATATACATATAATATACAATATCTACATAACTATGCATATGTGAGGGGGCTCCAAAGAGTTCATGGAAAAACTTCATGATCTTTTAATTCTATTTTCCATGAACTTTTGGAAGCCTTCTTGTATATCTCCTATTTACAAAGGAAATTAGATTTTATAAGCATTTTGAACAATTCGGGATTTTTTCCTACACATGATCCAATGTTTCAAAAACTTCTCCCAATACAGGTCTAATGCAACCATAATCAGTGCAGCAAAACAGAAAATTAACATACAAAGGGACCCGCCCCTGGAGAAGGGAGGGTGAGGGAATAAAGACGATGACTCGCGTGGAGCTGGCTGGATACACGGCTGCAACAATAGGCCCAAAGCGAGCAACTGTCAAGCTCACACAGACCCAGGCAGTGTTCTCTTCGGTTTTACGGGGAGTCGGAGCTGTCTCAATGGCATCTAGCAATGGCAACAGGGACTGGTGATCCCAGAGAAATATTTGGAAATCTAAGGGTCATAGTCGCAAATGTCCTATATCTTACTGATTCAGTATTGGTTTGCTCAACACACAAACTCCAATATGTAATTGAATACAACAGTTCCAAGCTGCCAGGAGAGAGATGTGGGCACTTGGCTTTTGCAAAGATTTACAGCTGACAAACATGTGGCCGCTCTCCTTGGTCCTACCCGGTTGCTATGAGTTGGAATCATCTCAACAGCAGCGGGCTCTAGGCTGCTGGGCTGTCTCTATGTCTGGAGCAGCTCGGAGCTGCACTCACCAGCAGTGTGTCGGACCCACCGACGATGCTCAGGCCCAGCCCCGTCCGCCCTTTGGAGATCTCAATAGTTGTTTCACAGCCAGGGATGATGGGGCAGGTGGCAGGATCAGAGGCAAAGATCGCAGGTGTTGATGACCTGCTTGTACCTAAAACAAGTAAAAAGTGAAATGAAACCTGATGCAAAACTGAATAGGAGAGAAATACATCACACTCACCGTTCAGGTTGCCTTTGGGGAGAGGGAGGGGTCTGAAATCCGGGACAAAAGGAGCCATAAAATGTACTTGGGATTTAAAAAAATTAGTTTCTGTGTGGAAAGTCAAATCATGATGAGATGGTTGAGCTATCTGATGACCTGCTCTAGAAACTTACCTCTACTTCACAATAAAAAGTCATTTAAAAAAAAAAAAGAGGCAAATCACTATATTTGAGTCATTATTGTTACCTTAGGGTTAGGGGCACGGAATTTTTCATTAAATTATTTTCTGTGTCATTCCATTGTACATTAATTGCTAAGAAAAACAAGTGAAAACACAGTCGTCCTGGGTTCTCATTGATAGCCTTCATTCCACTCATGCCAAGCACAAGTTTTTAGGAACTGATGATCTGTTAAACACGGAACAGGTGGGTGCCAGGGTCATGGAACACGTGCAGGGGAGAACACGGAGCCAGCCCACATCCGTGATTCTGCGCATCGTGGCTTTTGGGGGACCTTCAGGCTTTAATTTCGATGTTTGTTTTCCATTTCCTCTCCTTCTTATCTCAGAGCACCTATGTTTTATTTTTTAACATTATGTTCCAATTTGAGCATACATGCGCCTGTATGAGATATCTGAGTTTATAAAAGTGAGAGCAACTTGCGAATTCTTTTCTTGGGTCTCCCTTCATGCTTTCTAAACTCAGATGTTAAATCCTGGTGCATCACTCTGAGGGTAATTCACAGAATTCACAAAAATTCACAGAAGAGAAAAATGCAAGAAAATATAAACTCAGGTTGGAATAGGTAAGAAAATCTTATGGCAGGACCAGGAGCACAGGGTGACACACGCCTTGTTTGACATTAGTCTTCATACCGTATGTTTCATGATATACATAGTCTTTACACCGTATGTTCATGATATACCAAAGAGCATGCACCGCACAGTTTATTTCAAGGAAGCTAGGAAAATTGTTTGAATAGCTTGCGCTTTAGACAAACTGTTCTCTTTTGAGGAAACCAGAAGCAGCCTTCTTACTTGTTCCTGAAATGGTAAGAACAGGTGCCTGGAACTTTCTTTCCTGTTACAGTTTCATTTAGCATTTCCTATTTTTATAGAGAATGCTATTTGGGGATCAACATGAAATCTAAAATTGAGACAATTTCCATAAAATTTCTAAACATGTCAGTGAATTTTTTTATTTTATCCAACTACATTCCAAATGTCCTAAACTGTTTCCTTAAGAACCTGTCAAAGGAAGTGGATATTTCATAGCTGGGAGGTCAAAAGTGATCCACCCCACCCCACCCCCCAACCGCAGAAAAGTCAAACGTTTCAAAAAATTGCTTTTGATGGTGTCAAGCTTGCGTTTTGTTCTGTCAACCACCAGTGTAATTTTTCTAAAAAAGTAATTTTATGGAATAATGTGCCTCGCTCGATATACCAGGTTGTTACCTTAATGAGACAGGGATGTATCACCACACAGTTCACATACACTCACCTCCTGGATGTTTACAGGATCTATTCTTCCACCCAAGCCACAGAGCTCACATTTACTATGTAGAAGGAGTCTTCAAAAGTTGACAGAAAATCGAAGAACAAAGTAAGGGATTTCCCCATGAACTACTTGAAGCCCTTGAACCTGGTGGTGGCGGCTGATATTTCACTGAGCTCCTCTGCAAGCTCCCAGTTCATCGCCACCTGTGTGCAGAGTAGGACCGCCCCATAGGGCTTTGTAGGCTGTGATTTCATGGGCATGGCGTGGAACGCTGGACAACGAATAAGGACGACCAAAGGGGAACCGATGCCGGTGAAGTAGTTTTGGTGAAACATGTTAAATATACCATGGACGGCTAGAAGAATGAAGTCTTAGAAGAAGGACAACCGGATTGCTTCTTAGAAAGGGGAAGGGTGAGACCTTATATCCTATACTTTGGCCATGTTATCAGGAGGGACCAGCCCCTGAAGAAGGTCACTGTGCTTGGTAAAGCAGAGGAAGGGCCAGCTAAAAAGAGGAAGACTCTCAGTGAGATGATTAGCACATTAGCTGCAAGCATAGGCTGGGACCTAGCAGTGATTATGAGGATGATAAATGTCTGGTTCATATTTAGTTCTGTTGTAAACAGGGTCACACTGAGTTAGATCCCACTCAACAACACCGAAAACAACAACAACAAACTTGATGAGAATGGACAGCCGGGACTTCTCTCCCTTAAACCAATTGATGGGTTCAAACCTCAACCCTTTAGGTTAGCAGGAGAGTGCTTAACCTATACCCCACCAGAGCACCTTAGACTGCAGTACTGACCAACAGCTGTGTGTGTGTATGTGTATGTGAGTGTGTTAGGCACTGTCGAGTCTACCTGTGAAGTAGGATAATTGAATCCACTTTTACATATTAGAAAACTGCGGCTCAGAGGAGTTAAATGTCAAAAAGGAGCATCCAACAGATGCTTCTAATTCATGACTCAGATACCTGGAATGATAGGATCCCGCAGCAAAAGATCTATGGGGAGCAGAAAGCAGCACCCTTCCTTTTGAGATGAATAAACTGAGGGGCAGAGTGGGTGTGCTCCACCGTGTTTCCTAAGGCCCTGGGGCTGGATCATGCAAAGCCCGCCTGATGCCTGCTTCACAGTCTGGGGCTAGCTCTTGAGGAACTCCCTGGTTCACAGGAGGCGCTCACTAAAATCTCCCTGACAATGGGCTTTCAAACAGTGCAAGGCTGGCAGGCAGGCAGCTGCCCAGACTGAGATGCTCTGCAGAGTACAAAGGTGCCCTGCGCTCAGGACTAGAGGGGCCCAGCCCTTACTTCGGAAAGCTTCTGGTTCTGGGGAGCCAGCAGAGGGGTCCCTCGGAGATGGGGAGCTGTTCCTTTTCTCTCCATTGGCTGTGCCAGCTGCTGAAGCAACAGTCTGGAGATCGGGGTTCTCGGCACGAATGGTGAGTCTCACTGTGGCTTTCGTTGGCTTCAGGAGGCTAATGAACTGACGGGATGTTGGTATGGAGAAAAACAAAATTCAAAGGCAAATTAGAAGACTCGAATAAGTCAGTTATAGCTACTAATTCTACCTAGGACTGGAAAAAGAGACAGAAGGAATATTATTTCTGTGACTGGATTTGTAGGGTCAAGAAAGGAGTGGTGCCCTCATTTTTTGGATTGCCTGAGGTAGACTGGGGCATGGTTCATTTTCCTGTAAGTCTGGTTCTGACCAGAGTCTTTCTGACAGCTTAGGATCGTTCCTTTATCTTTTAATAGTTCTAAGTAAGCACGTCATTTCTCTGCAGCCTTACAAGATAAATGGGATCTTTTCCTCTCATCCCATGGAGAAACGAAGTACCCCATTCAGACACCTTTGATAAAATGGAAACTTATATGCTATAAGTACCAGGCATTAGGCGATCACACCGGTGGTAAATAAAAACACAGAGCAAGGATTAAAGAGTCTGATCTAGATGTGACTGAAACTGAATAAAAAACTGACATTGAGCTTCTTGCTCCCCATTATACAGAAAAGGAAACACGGTAAGGCAGTTCTACAACACTCCCTCAACCAAAGGGAGGGAAACACACTAAATATCAGGAGTATTATTATTTTATTTTAGTTTTTTCTGGAACTTACCATATGAAAGGTCTCATGAAATTTTTTTTTTTTTTTTGTACTGAGCATCAAGATCACATCTGAAGAGGCAGAAACTCAGGTACAAAGAACTGTCTAAATTCCAATACAGTTAAATATTTAATGCTGGGTTTATAAAGCATGATGTACAGCACAAAGGGCTGAGTGACTCCAGTGAACATTATGGATTCAAAGATCTTCAAAGCTGCTATCAAGCATCAAGTATACTAGATATTTATAGGAGAAACGATTCATTTAAGGGTACAAATCTTTTGGTGCTACTATTAAGACTTTTTTTTAATAGTTTCATGGTTTCCTAGATATTTATCAAAAATTGTCATCGACTATTGATTAATTTACCAGGTAACAGAGAAATAGCTTCACCATCACTTTGACTTAAAAAAATTCACAGAAACTGAACACCTTCTGAGTAACTTCTTTTCCTTAAGGGCCTATGTGTAACATAGGAGACCAAGCCAGTGGCAACTCTTTCTGCCCGTTTCTGCCCGTAAGATTCCTTAACTCACACTCGGAAGGCATGGCTACCCAGCCGACCCCCAGCCAGCAAGGCGCGCTAGGACCGAGGAGAACTGCCTTGGGGGGTTTCTAGGGATGCACATCTTTGAGATTAGAACACCACGTGCTTTTCTTGAGGAACGGCTGGTTTCGAACTGTTAACCTTTGGGCGAGCAGCTGAAAGGCCTACCAGAATAACTCTTTCATCCTCTAGCCAGACCCAAGAATGTGATTGTAATACCACTTGCTTTCTTTTGCAAAAGTACCTTGTCAGCAGGATAACCAACAACTACTTCATCATCTACCGCCAAGATCTGGTCGCCAACTTGGAGCCGTCCATCCTAGAGGAAACATGGAAGATTGTGAGTGATTTCCCAGCAGGCCTGCCCTCCCCCAACACGTTGCAATGGTGAGAATGGCCAGGTCGCACCTTGGCTGCCACCCCATTCTCCGTCAGACTCTTGATGACGACCCCTCGGATGGTGGTTTCTTCACTGATCGCAATGCCCAGCGGCCCCTGGTCCTGGAGAAGCAAAACCAAGATCACGATCACCTGGACGGAGAAAGCACTGCGGCTGCAACGTCCCCTTCACCCGAGGGCTGGGAACCGGCAAATCTCTTCGGAAGTCTCTGACTGGACATCTCTTATTCAGCTTCTAAGCTTTTTCTGAGGGGAATAAAGTCTCCTCCATCAAATATTCACGTGTTTTCCCTCTTCCTATATGTCTGACTTTCTAGTGCCTTTACGAAATTATCAGGGGACAGAGGTGCACTTGACAATTTAGTCACCAACATGCCACGCTTGCAAATTTCATCTTCTGTAACTGCCTAACAAGATTAGTCACTTAAAACCAACCTGTTCCAAATTATCTGCATATATGACTTCAAGACATGCTTACAAAAGGATCGTGTTCATAATTCAGGGGCTGATTGTTAATCACGAAGTTCTGATCTCTTCAAAAGCAAATGTTTCCCCAATCCCTACTAGTGAGGATTTTTAGTTATCGGAGCTTTCAGTTTTATGAAAAGACAAAGACTGGAAGCTTCTATTTCTTTATTCCTTCATTCCCTCCAGTGTAGTTTCTTGGTAAGTGAATGAGAGGAGACCAGGCTTCATTTCACACCTTAGAGCTTCAGAGAGTAAAAGTTGGGTCCCAATGAAAGCACCCATTAGATCAGTGGTTTTCCAGCTTGGACCAGCATCAGAATGACCTGGAGGGCATGTGCAAGCTGGGTCCGGGGCTCACCCCAGCCATTTGCAACTCACTGCGCCAGGGAGATGTCAGCACTTCCTTTTCTGACACCTTTGGGAGGTGCTGATGCTCCAGATCTGGAGCCCAGGCTTTGCAGAATCAATGAATTGGAACACTGGTGTGAAGAACACCATGTTATTCCAATTCCAGGTGGATTTACCTTGGGAAGTTCCAGGTGGTGCACATTTTTAAATGAACCGAGGTCCACAGCTGGGTCGGTGGATGTAGTAACACTCGGGTCAGCCTGACACAGAGAAGGAATAGGCACAAATAACTGCCATGTATTGTTTTATTGGTTTAAATATAAGGGCCACTTCATCAACGCTTATTTTAAAGCATATAATTCCTTATTACTACAGCAGAACTCCGGTACTCGATCGCATCAGTACTCAACATAATTGGGCTTTGATTCAAAATGTCGAGAAAATTTTGTATTGGAGCTCGAAAAAAACAGCGCAATCCGACCCAATGCACGTGATTTTTGAAAGCAGAGGCACTTTGTGTTTCAGTCACTTGGCATTAGTTGGTGTTGTTAGTACGCGTTGTTAAAACCTTTTGCGGCTGTATTCCAAGCATTTTGCTATAATTTTCTTAGTTTTTGTGGCATTCTTTACTGTTTATAGATAAAAAACATGGGCCCTTAAGAAAGAGTTTTTTGAAAAGAACCATCATGATAAGGAACTGGTTAACTGTGTTCTCGATATTGCTGATGATAATTTAGTAAACCCTTTTAGAAAACAGTTAAGGAAACGCCAACAGCAGACCACATTAGACAGATTTTTTTTGTTTTGTTTTTAAGAGAAAGCAAGCCAGCTAGGTCCGAGTGAAAAAAGGCAAAGAAGGATGGAAAAAAGCTGCTGTAAAGCAGCTACCAGTTGATTTTCTGGAAGGGGATTCCCTGTGCAAACACTGACTCTCTCTCCATCCCTCCTCTCCACGTCCATGTCCACAGATCCAGAACCTCATCACTCTCAAGGTATGGGCCATACTGTAGTTGTTCAAAACTTTTTCAATGTTGTGTTCTTTATTTAAATTATATTATTCAACTCTGAACTTTTTGACTTTGAAATTTCTGTGTCATGTTTTGTATAGAAAGGCAAGGTTAGTGTAAAAACTTGGTGGATGAGAATGGATTAATCTATTTTCAGTTATTTCTTATGGGAAAAATTGATTTGCAACTCGACTGCTTCTCATCTCGACACTCCTTCTAGAACAGATTAGTGTCAAGGTCTGGGGTTCTACTGTATTTTAACAGTCAATATCACTTATGAGCATCCGACTCACTTCCGAAGACTTACTTGGTGTGATTCAGCAGAAACTGTTTTAGAAAAGAGAAGTGGCTCTCTTTCAGTGGCTCTCCAGGCTGCCTGCCTTTAATCTATAATGAATTCTAAGGAAATCCCAGCTACAGTTACAATGGAACCGACAGATACCTAGAGCACACGCAAAGAAGCCTCATTCATTCATCTTTCCCGTTTTCAGTAAAGTGAATTTAGATATATGAAAAGGTTTTACCTAAAACATGAAAATAGTCCATTTCTTAAGGGATCCATTTAGTATTACTAATACAACACCTGTACCCTTTACAACACAGTAATGGGGAATGGCCACCCAATTGGTTTCTACAACACGAGTCATTTATTTCACAGGTACCATTGTTCTGTGTCCTCCACGTCCACTCACAGCGACCCTGCCCCAGGGCAGAGCTGCCCCTAAGATTTCCCAGGCTGTCACCTGTCCGGGGTTGGAAGGCCAGGTCTTCTTCTCGTGGTGGTGTTAGCTTCCACCCACCCACCTTTCAGTTAGCAGCCAAGTGTTTACCAACCCCTGCACCACAGAACCAACCAACCAACTAAACAAACAAAACACCCCCACACAATCTTGTAGTCTTTTGGATTCCAACCCATAGAGACACCATGGAACAGAGTCGGACTGTCCACATGGAGTTTCCAATTGCCACGTCTTTCCCGCCAAAGGAGCAGCTAGCTGAGGCACTCAAATCCTGGATCTTTTGGTATGCAGCTGAGTGCTTTAACCACTGAGCAAACTGGCCTCCTTAATTTTATATATTGATGCCCCAGGTGTTTATAGGTTCAGTTAGGATTTGCTATGACTAGAATCGACTGGGTGACAGGAAGTTTGGTTTTCGATTATTCAACCCTCAGCATTCTCAATGCTAACATCGCTGGTAGCTTCCAGGTACATGCTACACTTCATCACATATGTCTCTTCTTAGCTATCAATTCCTCATGGGTGGAGGCTATGGCCTGTTCACCCGTGATAACCCTGGAAGCATTTAGAAATTGTTTACTGAACTAATAAGTGGCATGCCAATCAACTCTTCCCAGAGAAATGAACACAAACTATATATAAAATATACCTCCTTATTTTGAAGAGTCTCTGAGGTAGCAGGCAAAAGCTCTGCTGGATTTCCAGGACACACAGCCATTTGACTCACTGCATCTTTATTTCTAAAATAGAGAGCATCGATAATTCAGAATAATTCACACTAACCCCACTAACCCCCAAGACCTAAAACTGCTGTAATCGGGCAGCGAAACATGTTTTATCTTCATTTGAAACAACTTGGCATCAAAGTGATAACAAACATTGCTTTGCAAACCAACAAACGAAAATGCTCACCTAATAAATATTATTTTTACTTTGGAAGGGGCACATTTAATGATTGAGGAGGCATTTTGATGACTTCTTCCATATAAAATCTGACCATTGATCTATGGAGAGAGAGGTGGGGAAAAAAGGTTTATTTATTAAGTCTGGAAATTTAATTTCTTAATTTTTATCATTTTATCTAATAAAACCATTCCCTATTTCTTCCTCTAAAATAGATATATACTTCCCCTAACGCACAGGGTCCCAAACTTATTTGGTCTACCACCCTATTTTCAGAAACAAGCAGAAGAAAATAAAAAACAAAAACTCAGTGTACACTGGCAATTAACAACTTGTACTATAGCCTATACTCCAGGATAAAGAATAGGTATCTGCTTTTGTAGTTCCCTCCACCCCACTGGATTGGTCCAGTGTCCACCAGGGGGTGCTAACGCCTGCTTTGGGAAACACCTCTAGTCTGTATACCTTTTACACACGAGTCAGACTTCAGATGGTGCTGTGTACAGTCAGCACTGAAGTGATGCCCACATATTACGTCAATCAGGGACAAGAGGGACCAGCTGTTGGGGAGTAAGGGCTAGGCTTCCTGACAGGCAGTGTTGGGCTACCAGCATTCTTTGTACAAACCCAGGGCTCTGTCTATGTACTCATGGCTTCCTGGGAGGTCCTGTTGTGTCATGTGTCCTAAGCGATCTCAAAACTCAAGCTCTGAGAATAGGCTCCCGGAGAAGGGATACTGGTAGATTCCAGACTGGGGCAGCAGAAGGTGCCCAAGCAGCAGAATACCTGGTAGAAACTACCAGCTCAGATCTCTAGTCTGAGTCACCGCTGACTGGGCATCCCCGCCAAACACACCAGGCATGGGGCAGACTAGGGATGCAGGAGGGACGACGGATGGATCCTGGACTAGAGGAGCTATGACCGACAAAACATGCAAATACAATTCTAAATATTTGAAAGTTATGGCCCACACAATTATGTTGTTTATTGGGTTCAGTTACTGCTTTCATTAGTTAGCCTCAACCTGGACCCTCCCCACCCAATCCCCATCACAGCTGCCATCAGGGATTTGACGTCCCGGAAGCCCACGGAGCCGGCCTCATTACTGGGGAGTGACTCGTCGCTTGGCCTTTCAACACTTCTAATAAAAGTGTAGGGCACACACACAAAAATGTTTTTAAAGTGTGAGCTTTATTACTGTCTTGGGGCAAACATTGTTGCTGGAGCTACATAGTCATGACCTTTAAATGGCAGTTAATGGGAACACAGGCTCTACTGAGTAGAGATTTGGTGTAAAGCCAGTTTTGCTCCAGTGCGTGTGTTTTATTAGGCAAATGACAGTTTTCTCAGTCTCAGTGGGTCTGCCACAATGTGAGGCCATGGCGAGGTGAGTTTGCTGGAAACTGATGACTCCCTTGCACCATTCCTTCCCTGGTTTCAGAGAGAACAGGTTCAGAGTTTTCCACGGACTCTTACCTCCAGGAGCTCATCTGCAATCTGTAATCTGCCATCTTTTCCAGCTGCTCCATTGGGATCGATCCCTACGATGAAGACACTCATCCTGGATCGGTCTTTGTTTCCAGCAAGGCTTAGACCCAAGCCACTCCGACCTTTCTCCAATTCAATCATATGCAGCTCCCCCAAGAGGGTTCCATAGCGTTCCCTGATGTTTTCTGCAGAAGACAGATGCACAAGCATGACCGGAATCAAGAGCAAAGCAAGGCAAATGCTAAGTAATGGACGGCTACACAGCTTTATCTTCAAGGGCATTATTTGACCCAAAAGGCAGTCCTTGGACATTAAGAATGGCCAAATCAATTGGTCATCTGGGCATCAGGATTGGCTTCTAAAAATACCCAAACTTGGAAGAATTCTTTGCATCAAGGTGCAGAAAGTACGGGGAGGCTTTAAAGGGTTTGTGGGAAAAGTTGCACTACCTTTTAATTCTATTTTCCATGAATGGTTTGTAGCCCCTTGGTATAATCTGATTAATCCCTTTGAAGTAATCAAGCCCAAGAGAAGTGATTCACATTTACCAAACTTTTAAGAGAATGTGATTGAAGAACAACAACAACAACAAATTACACTATTATTTGTAAAGGACAATGGAAGTGTTAAGTCATTCAGAATATCTGTGTTTACTAGGCGGTAGGAGCCTTTCTCCCACAGGAACATCTACCCTGGAAGCCGTACCGCTTTGGACAACTGGGTCGGTACATGCTTCCACAATAAAGGGGCATGTGTTCTGACTGCACACGCCAGGGCAAACGATGCACTCCTCTCCACTTTGGGGCCACGAGCCTTTCCTCGCGGTCACTGCACACAGGTTTAAGAAGCAGAGTCCCTGCTCCAGTCTTTAATCCAAGAGGCCTGTGTGTACACTAACACATACGCTGGGACAACAGTAGCACGGTGGATGTTCTAGGCCTAGCCCTTTATGAGTCAGCAGTTCTTGCCTCTCAGAATGATGGAACTTGGGCTACGCCTCACCAAGATTCCCCACTGTGAGAGGTTCATGTCATACGGAGAGGCTGCCTTTAGCTCCTCCCTCGCAGTGCCCCAGATGAACAACAGGAAGCACTGTCTCTGCTAGTCATCAGAGTGTGCCATCTTGGATACCCAGCTCAGCTGAACCCAGTGAACAAACGAATGGTGACAAACCAAACTAAGCAAGCAACCAACCAGCCAATCAACAAAGAGCAACCAACTCACTACCATCAAGTTGGTTCAGACTCACAGCGACCCCGCAGGACAGAGTGGAACTGCCCCTGCACACCTCCAGGCTTTCACTTTTTGTGGGAGCAGAAAGCCAGGCCTCCCTCTCTTGGAGCAATTGGTGGGCTTGAACTGCTGACCTTGCAGTTTATAGCTCAAAGCACAATCCACTCTGCTCCTAGAACTTCTTTCAGAACTTTGACAGATTCATAATAAATTGCTTTAAGCTATTTAGTTTTAAGTGATTTTTTTTACATGACAATAGATTACCAAAACATTCTGGTTCATGTTTACTTCAGAGCATTCTGGCCACCTTGACTAAATCAGCAAAATCAAATTTCATTGACAATGAACTGAGGAAACGGTGAGCCTGATAAATCACCGGTGAGAAAACAATGCTATATGGTTAATGTCATACATTTCATATTGGCTCTTAACATCATGAACTGCCATTTTCTAGATTCTAGCAGCATAATGTAAATACTTTATACTTCCTAAAATCATGTCCTGTAGCATTCCTAGAGGATCTGATCAGGCTATAAATACAACTTTTAAAAAACACGGGCATTTTTCTAAATATTGGCTACATTTTGAGTATTTCCCTGAGAGATGACAGAAACTCTGAAGATCATAGTAAGAGCTGCCTTGGGATCATTTCCATGCACAGGTGTTATGTTTTGTCCTCAATCATTCTCTAACATAGTGTTAGTAACAGGGGTGAATTCTAAGAAGCTAAAACTTGGAAGTGATCAGCAACTTGTCACTGCCCAAAGTTGTGATTTCTACAATGATACCACAATCTTGTCTTCATTCAGAAAACAGTAAACACTCAAGGCAATATCAACACCCACCATACTGCAAAGAGAGAAGTCTTGGGTTCAAAAGCATGGTCATGGCTTCTTCAAGACCGCATGATGGTGGGTCCAGGGCTAGTGCCTCTTTAATTCTCAACAAACGACTGAGCCAACTGTCACAGGAATACCCAGTCACAGGAGAGGAAGAACATGACCTCACTCCTCAGGAATGTGTGCTGTACTACAGCAAAGCCAAGTTTTGTTTGCTTGCCCTTCCACCCAGAAATCGTGTCTGTGTAAGACAGGCTGAAGGACACTCGTTTGTCCAGGACGTGAGCCTGGAGAAACCTGGGGCTATTTGAATACCTCTTCTAATGACATGCAGCCAAAGACAACTTACTCCAGCTGTACCCAAACTCATCCTCTTTGTCCTCATCGTCGGAGACTCTGCTTGAGGATGACGGTGCACAATCACTGCCCATCTCTGCCAAGGCTGAAGGAGGGGGCAGAGGCTCGGTGCCCAATGGGGCCTTTTCTGATGGCCTCTCAGACGGCCCGGATACCTGTGGGAACCAGAAGAATGCATGGGTATGTGTGCTCCGAGGAAGAAAACGTAAGGGGGGCAGGCGCAGGGGGAGAGTAGAACACCACAGACCAAAAACAAAAGCCTGTTTTAAAATCACTGACCATAAACAAAGAGTAGAAAGCTCATACACATATGTAATATTAGACAGGATTCAGCTATAGTTTCAACAAAGTAAACCAAATTGTATGCTCAGAGCACAACTCAGTTCACTGTCATTTGCTATTGTCAGCCCATAAATTATTCAATTTGAAGGTTTTAGTGGGTTCAAGAGGAGAAAAAATCTCACAAACGTCCCCTCTGGGAAAATAAATAATTCTCCACACCAAAGTTCTCAGAAACGTTCAGGGGTCTGGGCACGACAACGGAGTCTAGAAAGATCTTCCAGGAAAGTAAAACAAAACCCCAAACTGCCAAGAAGCTATCTTTACAAGTGCTTTACCTGAATCCTCTCTCCAAATGACTCTTTGGCCCCATTGCTTGAGCACCACGCGCCAAGCTTATCTACGGGCACCGAGCACTCGGACTCAGCTAGAGTGACATGGCGTCATGGGTACCACCACGCCCTTGTCCAGAGAGCTCGCCCAAGATACAAGATCCAGGAAAATATTTCATATAAATTGGAAGCATGGCAGATATGCCATTGCTTATGGCTACAGATTCTACTAAAGAACTTATCATCAACCAATTCTTATGTCACAGATTAGCAAAAGAATATTAGAAAGTTTACTTGTTTTGCAAGTAAGTAGCGCAAGGACATGTTATTACAAATTATATAGGGGTACTAAACTTTTTTTCTCCTATTTTATTCCAAGGCACTTTCTAAGATACCACATTGTCTCCTCCAATTTCCTTAGTAAGTTAAAGCTCAACTCAAGGATTAGGGCTACCATGCCTAGAGTCTACTTTTTCTTCTTTTCACCCCAGCCTTCTTTCTTTCTTCTGCTTCTTTTTTTTTTTTTTTGTAGCACAAAAATCCCTCCACTATAACTTGTTTTATTTTATTTGTATCTATCTGGAAAAATATTACAGTTCAAAAAGTAATTTCTTTCTCACAGGCGACCTGACTGGCATGCATGTCAATACTTCGAGAATTATTCACTGGTGCCAAGTGTCAGCACATCACAAAAATAAACTGAGCACCCAAACTAAATGGCCCTGGAAGTGAATGTGTTCGGGTGATTGAGAAGGCACTTCAGGATTCCCAACTGCCTCAGTCACCTCAAGAAAGAGCAATGGCCGAGCACAGAAGGACATGCTGACAGAATGTGGGCCACAGACTTCCAGGTTACGGACTCTGTGGGAGGAAAGGTTCCATTTATATACGATCGTCCAGCCAGACAAAGACCCTAGTCAATGTGTCAGACCACGGGTCTCTCACATGAACAATATGCTACCAAGACAAGTGAACAGAGTCACCCCCGCCACCCCCACCCTCATCCGATCCAATTTTGGTTCATTCATTATTTAAGAGTGTTTGTGTGTAGGGGGGATTTTGATCCCCCCCCCTCCCCGGTTTAAAAAAAAAAGACTTTTGTAATAACAAAAAAATTAATTTTCCATCACAAGTGAGAAGGAAGCTCATTTCATTTTTGAAAATGGAACGAAAGTGAATTTAAACTCCCCATTGTCTTAACAAACCCGGGGAGGTCCATTTTATGAAGGTCCTTGTTACTGCATCATTTTTCTCAACTGTCATTTTTTTCTTTACACAATGACGATGACGACAAAACCAGCAGACAGACAAAACCTGCTTTTGCAAAAATGTAACCAGGGACTTAGATGACACCACATTTTCATACTCTGTGAGGTGCCATGTATACCGAGGTCACATCACTGAGGACGCTGAGGAAGTAAAACGAGCTCATGCATTTGCTCATGGGGTAGTTGCACGCGTGCGCTGTGTGTGTCTGTGTGTGTGTGTGTGTGTGTGTGTGTGTGTGTGCTCTAGTTTACTGCCCATGCCCCCTCATGTGCGTGTCTACCACAGATTGTTTATCCCTCACGGACCACAATGCAAAGTGCACTTTGAAGCCACATCATGCCTTGTATGCACACACCAAGTTCAAGGCCACACACAGCACACCTTAGCACAGCCACGTATTGATGAGAGATTCACATGGAGACAAACCTTAAATGGTGTGGGGGCAAAGGGGTTACTTGGGGAACAACGGAAGGCAACTGTACTTGAGTTCTGAAATTCCTACAGCAACAGAAAACATATTCTTCAGAGGCAGCACCTGTGGTAATCAAACGTCAATAACAAACCGCCCCACTGAGCATTTCCAAAATGCCCCCTTAAAGAGACTGTGGACAGCTTTCTTTCTTTTCAGGATCAGATTAGGGTTTTAGCTGTTCTGGAGGATTTATTTTTAATTTTGTTTGTACAAATTCATCAGACTATAAGCATCTCTAAGGACAGATATATAAGACTTGAAAGTGTTCAGTTTCTGGGAGCGAGCATTAAAACAGACACATGGAATGAATGCCCATAGACACAATTGCAATATTTGTTGAGTAAAACAAACTCCCAGATTAGTTTTTTTGGGGCCACTATAAAGAATTTTGACAGTGTTTTACATGAATACAAGGGTTTGAAGAAATTACAGGCAAAAAGTAGTTCATACACCTGGCAATTATCAGAGATTTAAGTATCAGAACATTCCAAGGTCTACAGAAAAGGCATTGGACTTGAAATTCTCCTTTACCCTTCTGAAGGGCTATCTGATCTCAGCTATCACATGAACAGACTCTGGCAAGGCGGTTTGTTTCAGAAAGGATAATGCCTACACACTCCAAACAGCCAGACCCCTCCTCCCCCAGCCCAAATTTAGTACACAGGGGACTGGGACAAAGGTGCGGGGTGGGCATGACAAAGAACAAAACGTGTGCAAAAGGCCGTCACCACAGGCATCCTCCGACCTGGTCAGCGTTGAACTGCAGAGAGTCAGCAAATGGGTTAGTGCGGCTGAAGATGGACTGAGGGGCACGCTTGTGCTGCAGGGAAGGCAAAGGGGATTTCTAAAAGGAAACATAAGAGGAGCTGAGTGCAAAAAAGAAAAGCATTCAGAACACTTTCGTTTTAAGAACAAAACACTCCCCGACTTCAGTTAGCTGTGCAGAAACAGAGCCTGAAGGAGCCAGTAAGTAATGGCAACACCCCTTTGCAACTGCCTGGGATGAGAGGTCTGCCTCTCACTGCACCGAGTATCCATCAGTCCACAGGCCACACAAGGAAAGTTTCGCTTCATGAGACATGTGCACGATCCAGACATGTCCACGTGTAATCCACCCACTTTGTAGATTCATTGACACTCCTGCAGGCCACTCCATGTGTGTCGAAATTTCTACCCGAAGAGCTTTATCATGTGCATTGGGGGAAACTGCAGACATTTGAAATCCATGTGAGCTCCAATCAACTATTTATGTTACTTCTCTCTCTAAAACAAGCCCTACTGGCAGGCATCAGGTGCAGGAGAGGTTGTCATGGGACACCATCCTGTGTGGTCTGGGCTGGCTACCCTCTGCAATAAAGCTTTTGCCAATGCTAAGGTCCAATCGTCCTCTCCCTCAGAAGACCTAGAAATCAGTTTCCAACAAATCGATCATTGGAAACCTGGCACTCATGGGTCACTGTGAGTCAGGGTGCCTCACCAGCACTTGTACAAAGATTGCAGTCTGATGCAGAACTCCCATTTGGAAGGCAATCACCCTGCCAATCGGCTCTTCCCTCATCGTTTGTTCTACAGCAGGAAGAGCAAGAAACGGGCACCACGGCTTTTCTGCGCCTCCAAGCTTTCGCTGGGCTTGGCAGACACAAGCGCCAACTCCTGCTCTACCAAAGGCGAGGCCATGCAGCTGAGGAACCTGACCGTTTGTGAAGGTGGAAGAAAGGGCAGGGCAGAGAGGAGAACCAGCTCCCAGGTCACAAAACTCAGTGCATGCAGGGTGGAGATGCTTTCTAATCCTCATCGTGGAATTTTCAGTTCCCTAGCATCCTCTGGAATTCCGGAGAACAATATAAAACAAAACCATAATGGAATATGTAACCATTTGGAGAGCTCTAGATTTTTCATTTGTTTAAAGCTCTTATAGGATTAGAATTTGGCCCTGATAGTGGAGTATAAAAGAACAGGATGAGTGGAGCAGGTGAAGTAGTAGATTGTTCTGTTATTAGGCAAAGATTTATAGGAACATTATATTTCTTATTTTATAAAAATCAATGATGAATCAGTTTATAGTCCCAAAGGCTGAAAAAGCAGACATGTTATTAATTTAGAAAAAAAGCACAGGGAAGACAAAAGCATTTTGGGGCCCATATTCATGGGGCCTGCTTTCAGTTTGGTAACGTGGTCAGACCACATTTCGTGATGCCCTCCGACTCTGTCCTATAGGGTTGCTGTAAATCAGAGTAGACTTGATGACAGTGGGGTTGGCTTTTGTGGTTATGAGTCATACAAGGAGGCTGATCGGGGCTGGTTCTAGGTTTGGGCCTGGCACAACAATGCTAAGGTCCAATCGTCCTCTCCCTCAGAAGACCTGGAAATCAGTTTCCGACAAATAGATCATTGGAAAGCCGGCACTCATGGGTCACTGTGAGTCAGGGCGCCTCACCAGCACTTGTACAAAGATTGCAGTCTGATGCAGAACTCCCATTTGGAAGGCAATCATTCTGCGAAGTACAGATTCTTGGACACCTTAAGAGTGAAACATGTTTACTGGCTTTTCAGCCCAGGCATAAGGGATTTCTAGACCATTTACCCTACATCCACATATAAAACATTTACCATAAGATGTAACCCCTTAGATTAACGGAGACATGATTATCACCATAATACGAATATCACCCAAGACAAAGGATGTCTCATTTTAAATGCAGAATTAGCTCTGATTTTCCTTAGCAAAATGAATTGAATTTGACTAAAAGTGTCCTTCTGAATTAGATTTATCTTGGAAATAATTGCTGTAAAATCAGTCTCATTCTACCTCTAATAGTAAGATAAGGACACATTCCAGGTGTCTGAGCCACTATCATCCCAGCTCATTACATGATCCTGACTGGATTGAAGGAAATCTTTAGACGTTAAGTTTTTAAAGTGATATTTAGAATCACCATTCAGTAGTTTACAATATTGTTTCAAATAATACAGAAGTTGGAAAATTTTAAAGATAAATAAAGGCAACACCCCCCTTCCCCCACCCCCCACACAAACATTAGCTTAACTTAACTTAAACAGGCATTTACCAGCATTATCCTGCTATGTCCATGTTTAACACAACAAAGGGGGTGGATGTAAATTGATTGGTAGTTATTTAAACAAAGTGGATAGCATGTGTATAAAGAATGCAGCATGATGCAGTTCTCCCATTTGGGAGATTTTCTCATCTGAATGGATAATTATTACCTAACAATCAACAACTGAATGATTAAGAATTGCAGATGTGAAGATAACTGCTTACAGTAGAATTGCTGCATCCCTTCCTGAGAGTGAACCCAGGCCAGAGATACACCTGTCTTAGCACCAAAAGGTTGTAGCAATGGGCTAAATCCTGCCATTTGGTTGGTCTACCAGGGCACAGCAGGGTCGAACGTGACCTCTATGCATGTTCACCCGTGGAGTTGTATGCTATGTTCCTTCCAACCCTTGAGCAGGGATACCTTGAACTTCTCGTTTTAAACACTTTAAAATCAGAAGTCCTTCAAGACTAAAATGAGACAAACAAGTTTGTATGGTGACTTTAACCTCCTTCATCTATGTTGACATCAGGGCTTTGAACTAGTTCCTTCCAGTTCAATCTCCTCCTGGAAATTTGCATTTCCACCCCAGATAGACTGAATCAGAATCTAGGATGTCATTAAGACCCACAAGTGATTTTTTACATACACACAAGCATGCTCCCAGCTGTATACAAAAGATTCACCTGGGGAACCTATTATAACAATAGATTTGGATTCGGTGTAGTTGGGGTAGTAATGCAAATTTTCAGCAAGGGGTCAAAATGGGATGATTTGATTGGCATTTCTCTCTTAAAAATACCAACTCAAATGCTAGTCAATAGATAATCCAGAGAGGACTAAGTATCACGGATACTGGCCACTAAAATCCAGGGCAGAGACGTCATGAGCCTCAGAACACCTCAGAAACCCTTGAACTGACATTCGAATCCTGAGTGACTGCGAATCTTTAGGAAAAAGAACCCCAACCCTCAAACACACTGCCATCCAGTTGACGCCAACTCCTCGCAACTGGAACAGGACAGGGTAGAAGTGGCCCTGCAGGTTCCCAGACGGTAACTCTCACAGTGGTGGAAAGAAAGCCTGGTCTTTGTCCCAGGGAGGGGAGTGGGCCGTGGTTAACAGTCCTAAGGGTGGTGCATGACCCAGGAAACTAAGACTGCTTTCTAGACAGTCCCCAGGGGACAAACGCCTGCCTTAGATCCACCGTGTCGTTGTGACTCGGCCTCACCAAGCCGATGAACAGGTGAGGTGTGCATCATGGCTCCTAACAAGCAGTGGGGGCACTTTGTGAGGAGTGTCAAACGCGATGACTGCGACGACAGCGTTTCTACGTGAAAGATGCGCCAGTGCCGCTGGAAGGGCTCCTTTGGGGATTTTTTTGGAACGCAGGTCCCCAGCTCTCTGAACGTCAATCGGTCCAGGGGGGATGTCTTCCGTATGCCAAGCCGGTGCGAAGTGAAGAGGAAGGCATTCTGAATCTACCTGGGGAAAACCTCGAGTGTTCCTAGACCTCCCAAATGACCCCCAATCACACTAGATCCCACCTGGACCCAACCACGCACACACGAACTCCACTAACAGACACAGTTCAAGGCGCGGCTGGCTTGACACTGGGCATAGGTCCCTGGACCGGAGCTTGGTGATGCCACCCTTGTTAGTGGGGTGCACCGCTCACCCTTTAAGGAATCACTGCAAAACAAGTACGAAACCCAGCTTTTTGGGGCTTGTTTCCTCCACTAACACAGACAATCCTCTTCAGCATGGCTGTAGTCACCAGAACCAGGCGGTCCCACGGGGCTTCTGTAATGGTGAGTGGTACAGCGTGAGCTGTATGGGATGTGGCTGTGGCCTGTAGATGGGGGCAAACATTTGACGGACTGGCATTCTCTAGGAACCACATGTAACTGTTCCTATTGATGGACAAATTCGACTGAAAGACAGGCTTAGGGATGTAGCCTGTCTGTACTCTGGGGACCGCCCCTAAAAGGAAAGAGAACTGTCGGTGGTGCAGTGGGTAGGAGGTTGGCTGCTGACCGAAAGGTAGGCAGTTTGAACCCAAGCAAAAAAGGGCGAGGCCTCTGTAAAGATTTACAGCCTTGGCAGTCCTGTGCGGTGCTTCACGTCTGTCCTAGCGTGCTGCCTTGAGTCAGAATTGACTTGATCGGACTGGGATTCTGAGTTTTATATATTAAAATAAACTGTGTTTTGTTTTTGTTTGTTTTTAATCACTGGGGCCTAAGGACAGAAAAGAATCATTTTAAACACTTGGCTAATTTTCATCTTTAGCGTTGGTAAGGCAAAGCACACAGTAGCTCACTCAGTATCCTTCCTCTCATTAAATGCTTTTCTACTTTCTAAGGTACTTCTAGGACCATTTGCCTGTGATGGCTGATGGGAAAATAGGTTTGTAGGTTTCTGCCCACCCAGGGTGGCCACTGCCAAACGGTTCTTCAGTGGTCGTAGCTGAAAAACAGCACGTAGAAAATCACTGGCACACACACTTCGGAGGGACCCGCTAGGTGCGGTTCTAATGTTCAGAAAGAGCCACACCGCGTGGAAGATGAGTCACAAGTGTTTGCAGAAGCAGGAAGTTCTGTCGGGAGAATACATTTTTAAATAGAAAGTCATTTCTCTGGTTTCCATGGGTTTCCCCCTGGGGGCCATTAATTATCAACAGGATCACACCACATTTCCTTGAACAACACATGTCTTTTGTGACAGTAAGGAGTACTAATAGTCACCCATTTGGATCCCTATGGCCACCAACAAACCCTAAGTCTTTATTAAACCTAGTGGAAGAGATTTCCAGGATATCTCAGTTTGACTAAACAACAACACAAAAGGCAAATCAATTTTTGATTTCCAGGATCAACATCTTTAGTCATGCAGAACACTTGGCCCTGGATGCATTAGCTTCCAAGGTGACCACTGGTTGGATATGCCTACCTTGCCCTCTGTGTTGCTTACCCTTGGTCTGTTAATAGTGCTCTGTACCATAAAGACTACAGGGTTGCCTGCTTTCCGAATGGCTTCCACAGCTTGCTCATGGCTTGCATCTCTGAGATCCATTCCATCCACCTGCAATGGAAGGCCTCAGCTTAACATGACAAGAAGCTACAGAACAAACAGAACAACGTGTGGGCCTGGACGTCTGAGGATTCCTGTGGGTCTCCTGGAACATCCGTTTCAGAATCAAAAATAGTTGGGACCAACTCTCCAGGCTCCCTAACTTTTCATCTCTGGAGCTGATGTAGGCTCCCTTGTTTGGGTGCCATGTGCTGTCTGGAATTGTCAGCTGGACTAATATCCATCGAAAGGCAGGCTCTGGTTCTGCTTTCCTTACACTGCGGTGATGATCCTTCAAATGAACCAACTGGCATCACGACAGGGAGGGGACTGGCTAACAGCACTACCCTCAACAGGAGAATCACGGCACGAGTGTTCTTCCAATTCAGTGTAGGGTGGTTTGGGTATATGGGAGTGTGTGTGGGGGTGGGTGCGGTGGTATTTGTGTCTCTCTTCTCATATCCAGACAAATCACGTTAAAGTAAGGCTAGTTTTGCAAGAGAACTTTTGCGGTCCACAGGACAGGAGCCGAAGGGGAGAAACTGTGCATATTTGTTAGTCACTCTGAGATAAACAGATTGTGAAGTTTATTTTACAACTGTTTATGGACCCTGGCTTGCTTTTTTTTGTGCACCACGTGAGTAAGAAGGAAAACAGTTTGAAAGGCCAAATGCTAATCCTGTGAGGAAATCATAGGAAGCTATTGTCTTTCTATTAGTTGCGATCACAATTTGAGGGGGCTTCAAAAAAGTTCGTGGAAATGTGGAATTAAAAGAAGGATAGAAACAACAAAACCACAAAGTCAGACTCAATTCTGGAAAAGAAAATGATGAGATCTTCACATAGAAAAGTTACATGTATTTAGTTTTAAGTCTCTTTCAGGTTAATCCTTGTTGTTTTATTGGGTCTTTTTTATTTATTAGCTAATCCCCTGCAACAGAATAGTACTCCAAAAATCACTGCAAATATTATTTTACAACATGAAAGAATCATTCATTGTCTATTAGAAAGGACTCCTGATGGCATAGTGGGTTACATGTTGGGCTGCTAACCACAAAGTTAGTAGTTCAAGACTACCTGCCATTCCTCAGGAGAAAGATGAGGCTTTTCACCCCTGTGAAAAGTCTTAGAAGCCCATCAGGGCAGTTCTACCTGTACCATAGAGTCACCAGGTGTCGAAATCAACTCAATGACAGTGAGTTTGCTCAGTTTTGTTTGTCAATGTGAAAGAGATGCTTTAGCTCAAGTAGTACAAGGAAACAGAACTCCGTTAATACAATTAAACTATATTTTGGTGGCCACTATGACTCATCTTTTCTAGTTCTAATCTTTCTAATAATTATAAATATTTCTTACTCTTACTATTTTCGTCAAAAGTATTTAATAGTGAAGTGTGTGTGTGTGTGTGTGTGTGTGTGTGTGTGCGTGTGTGCAATAAAAGGCCTTGGAATAACTGAAAGTTGGAAATAATGGTTCTCCAAACAGGGTTAAAGTTGTCACCTAATGGAAGGCAAGGATGCAGGGGGAGAAGCAGCCATCATTTCGCCTGAGAAACAGTCACAAGGAAAAAAAACAGAAGAGAAGAAAAACAAAAATAGACAGGGCCCCCATGTCTCGCAAGTCTCAGTCTTCCTCCCATTTCAATTCTCAGAAGCAATAATCAAACGATGAAGAATAACTAAGTGAACCCCCACATGCTCATTTTAACTCATGTGACCGTCTTCTACACAGCGAAGGTACTTGAATGTGCACGTCTTACGGGGGCTGTGGGAAGGAGAGGCAATCACTGGTATCCAGTAACTCTTCACAGTCATTAAAGTAATAACGGAATGGACTTCCATTTGGAACAGGTTTCCTGCAGTCTCTAACTCTAGACATTTGAAGAACTCAGCGGCTGTCAGCGTATCCTGACCGTCTCTCTGAAGTGACTTGGCCACTTGTCCAGCCTCCCTCACTTGGCATGCCAGCACTGTGCCTTGTTTTTTACAGGGTGCCCACAGCCTGGTGCAGCGCCTGAAATACAACAGTTGCTCTGGGGATATTTGCTGAGTAGTTTATTAAGTGACTTATGAGAGGAGAGATTATTTAAAATAATAAACTATCTTTGAATTAAGAGATAAGAGGGGCAAATGGCCTAAGTGCTTCTCTCTTATACAACGGAAAGACGCACGTGTACATACTTGAACATGCACACCCCCATCCATACGCAGACACCCTCAGTGGGAAGTGGGCACAGCATTCTGGAGATGATAGGGGTCTGCACATAGAAGATGTTACCATTTAGGACTCATTAAAAAAGCAAAAAGACAATCTCCCCCAACTCTGCTTAGGTACAGTGCAAGGAGAGGGACGTACTAGGTCCTGAAATAAAATCTCATGGGCAAACAGAATTATGATGCATCCCTTTGGAATATGTGTGGGTGTCTAATTTCAAAGATTGTTTTTTGCCCAAGAAATTTGCTTTGTTCTTTTCAAAAAGAACTTTTCTATTTTTATCTTGAAGCCCATGCTTTTTAAATCGGTTGCTTATGCTTCCAAATAGCAGTCTCCATATAAGATAGACATTCTAGTCCCACATGAAAAAGAAAAGAAAAAGAATATTATTGATGTAAAAAAAATAGAAGGAAATGCTTGAGCCAGTAACACGCTTTGAGGCTAATGTGGGGTGAAGGCGGCAATGATGCTTCCCTTGGCCGAGGGTGAAATGGGGGGTGACTATGGTACAGACCGCTCACTGGGGGGTACCTCGACCACTCTGTCTCCAGGCTTCAAGGTTCCATTCTTGCCAGCGGGACTATCCTCAAGAACATGCTTGATGAAAATGCCCCTCATCACTTCACCGTTGCTCAGACGACTCCCCATCCCACGTCCACCAACAATGCTGATGCCCAGCGATTTGCTTGGTTCTCTCCAAAGTTCAACCCTAGAAAACAAATACATTAAAGAATGCGATGTAATAAAACATCGTGGTCGGTGCTTATGGTTGTTAAGTCTTTGTGCCATTTGCTAAGGTCTGACTAATAAGAAAATAGAGCCAGTGTTTAAGTACTTTCCCAACAAAGAGTCTTGTAGGATCTAAGAAGTACTGATGTATTTCGGAAGCTGGCTTGTTACAGGTGAAATACAGGACACACACTCTGGGCTGGGGCACAGCTCTAGTAAAGGTGTCATTTCCAGGAGCGCTAATATTACAGACAGTGAGAAATCAAGAAATCCAGGTGCCAGTGAATAGATCATAGCTTCTGAGCTTAGCAACCAAATCAAGGGAAAGAACATTCCAGCACACAGTACAGCAGAAGCTGACTCTCCTAGAAGTCTCTCTTGCAAGGCAGACCTGGGAACGAACAGTCAGGGTGTGAAGAGCAAAGACTGACGGGTTCTATCTGATCCGATCCCACCACAATCTCTGTATTACATTTAACCACGGTAGGCAAAGTCCATAAGAAACCAAAATACAGACATGAGACTCCAATTCTTTTAAAAAAGTGGTGGTGGGGGAGTGAAAGGGAAAAAACTACTGTCTCTTCTGTCTTTTTAGTGCTTGGTGTAAATTGGAAGGAAATAGTTTGTATCAGCTCTTGAATAGTGAAAGCAACAGTAGTCAACATCTATTGAGAATCACTCTCTCCATAAAGTGCACCCTCACGGTCCGAGTCGATTCTGACTCCCAGTGACACCCTAGGACAGGTTCGAACTACCTCTGTGGGTTTCTGACACGGTAGGTCTTTACAGGAGGAGAAAGATTCTCGTTTCTCCTGAGAAATAACATAAACTTTCATTAAAGCCTAAAAGGAGATCTGGTGGTATTGAGTAAAGCTTTGGAGTTTCTAACCCCAAGGGAGGTAGTTCAAACCCACCAGCTTTTCCCTAAAAGAAAGATGAAGCTGTCAGCTCCGCGACAGACTAACAGACTTGCAAACACCGTTGGGCAGTTCTACTTGGTCCTCAAGGGTATACTAGGAGGAGGATTGGACTTGATATTGGGGCAGAAGACTTTTTAAGATTCTCACATCATCCAAATGAGGTGGGTGTTCAGATTTGGCTTATTTTACAAAGAAAGGAAGAGGTGCAGAGAGTTTGGGCAGTCCAGGGGTGATGGTGCCACAGGATCATGGAGTGGACAGTGACGCGTTTTCCAACACACTCCCTAGAAACGGTGAACTCCTCACAGCACTGGAGAAGGTAACCAATGGCACCGCTGTCCCTGAACAGAAGACAGTCAACAGTCCTGGGAGAGAAAAGGGACCTTTCTCAGGGTCTAAACATACATCTGTAAAGGGGGAGACTCAGCTAGGTAAACCATGGTAAACCCAGTGCTGACGGCAGAGCTCCCAGTTTCAGGTCTAATGAGCCTGCTGCTGATTCACGAGCAATTTATCCAGTCCACTTATCTCACGTTGCTCAGTTCTCAGAGGGAGAAACAGTCTCGTCAAAGAGTAGTTGTGAGGATTAAATTAATGAACGTAAGGCAAAGCAGAAGAGTGACAACAAAGAGAAAGATCGCTGACGAAATGGGTCAACACAATGGCTGCAATGAAGTATTTAAATACAGAATCAGTTGGGAGGATGGTGCAGATCCAGGCAACATTGACCTCTGTTGTCTGCATCCAGGGGAGCCGGAGCCAACTCAAGAGCAATTAAACAACAACGTTCAGAACAAAGCTTTCACATATGGTACACAATTTAAAATGCTATCATGACTATGATAATGACCATGAAAAAGCAGCAAGATGTAAAATTCAATATGTATGACAAATCAGGAAATGTATATTTTTCACCCCACCTCACCTCCTGCCTGGTTGACTAAGATAAAGTACCATTGTCCACCTGTCAGCTGGATGAAAATTAACTGGAAAAAACATGAAACGAATGTGGGAAATAGAAAGTCTGATATGTTGGAAACAGAAGAACAAAATGCCGGAAACCAACTGCACAACCTCTAATAAAGAAAATATAATCATGTTGACGCACATTAGCTTCTTGTTTTGGGTGCCATGACATAGCTTTCAATTCATATCAACTCTATGTACAACAGAACAAAACACTGTCTGGTAGTGTACCTTCTTAACGATTGTTGTCATATTTACGTATGTCCATTTTCAGAGCCATTGTGTCAGTCCATCATCTCCTTGAGGGTTTTCCTCTTTTTTTTTTTTTTTTTGCTGACCCTCTACTTTACCAAGCATGACGCCCTGTTCCAGACACTTATCTCTCCTGATGTGGTAGTTACATAATCTGGTGTCAATTTGGGACTTGAGAGGATTATGAATGAAGGGGTGGAGTCTAGTCTGTCAATCGGGTCAAAGCCAATGAGGCCTATGTAGGCATAGCCTTCTCCTGAGAATTCTGGGAAATCGGGTACTTTCCTCCTTGGAGGCGGAAGACATTTCTCATCCCTGAGAGACATTGCAGCTGATAAGACACATGGAACCACCCTGATGCAACCAGACCTCTGAAGCTGGAGAAGCCATGTAGAGACCCCTGTCAGCGCTGAGATGCTTACAATGTCCTGCATTTGGCATCATTGCCTGTGTTTCATAAGTCTGAAGAGGACTTTATAGATTGGTCTCGGACATACGAGCTAATATCAGACTTATGGGCTTGGACTAGATTGGGATGGGATGCTTTCTTAAGGTACAATTACCATTTATGTAAAACTCTCTCTTAGACACATATGAGATTCTATGGATTTGATTCTCTAGTCTATCAGACTAACACACCTGATAAGAAGAGATGAACTCTGCGACCCTCACTTCTCAAGAGCATCCAGGCTGTACTTATTCTCAGACGTTATTTGTTTATTGCTCTGGAAGTCTACGGTACTTTGAATATTCTTTCCCAGCACCAGAATTTAAATGTACCAGTTCTACTTTGATTTTCCTTATTCACTAACCAACTTTCACATGCATATGAGGTGAATGAAAATACCATGGCCTGGATCAGATGCACCTAAAAGTGAGAGCTTTGCTCAAAGTGATAGGTTTGCTCTTGAACATTTTAAAGAGACCTGGTACAGTCAATTTCCCACCAACAAGACACTGTTTGATCTCTTGCCTGCTGCTTCTTTCCAGGGGCACTGATTGTGGGTCCAAGCAAGGTGAAATCCTTGACAACTTCAATTTTTTTATCTCTTTATCATGATGTTTCAGTCATGAGGGTTTCTGTCTTCTTTAAATTGAGTTGCAATCTACACAAAAGGTGCAGTCTTCGATTGTCATCACCAAGTGCTTCGTGTCTGTCTCACTTTCAGTGAGCGCAGTTGTGCCATCTGCATATTGCAAGTGGTTAAGAAGCCTTCCCACAATGCTGATGCCACAATCTTCTTCATAGGCTAGCTTCCTGGTTCCTTTCTCACCAGGTAGACTGAAAATGCAGGGTAAAAGGATACATCTCTGAGGCACACCTTTCCACATTTTAAGACACTCAACATTCCCCTTGTGTCCCAACATCTCCTGGTCCACAGACAGATTCTACAGGAGCACAACGAGGTTTTCTGGAATTCCCATCTGCTCAACGCTACCCATAGTTTATGCTTTTGCATCTTTAATAAACACAAGGAAACACTTTTCTGGTATCTTCTTCTTTGGGCCAAGTTCCACCTGAGTTGTTGTCATCTGCATCGATATCTCTTACACCACATCCTTTTCTGAATCCAGCTTGACTTTCTGGCAGCGCTCTGTCCATGTATTGCTGTGACTGTTTTTGAGTTATCTTCAGCAAACTTTTACTTTTATATTAATAATATTGTTCAGTAATTTCAAAATGCTGTTGAATCACCTTGGTTTGGAATGGATGGGCACAAATGTGGATCTTTTCCAGTGTGGTGGCCAGGGCTTTATCAACTTGTTGAAACAGTTCCGTTGGTATTCCATCAATTACTAGAACCTTGTTTTTTTGGCTAATGTTTTCAGTGCATTTTTGACTTCTTTCAATATCATTGCTTCTGGGTCATACACGACCTGTTGAAATGGTTGAACATCATTGTATTTCCACCTTCTTTTGATGCTTCCTGCATACCTCACTATTTTGACCATAGAAGTCTTCAATATTACAACTTGAGGTTTGGTTTTTTAACTTGATATATGCTGAACATGTTCTTCCTGCTTCTAACTCTACATCTTTCCACATTTCCTTACAGTACTCTGTTTTGTCTTAAGCTGCCCTCTGCAATTTTCTGTTCAGGTCTTTTGTTTCAACATTTCTTCCAGTTGCTTTAACTGCTTTCAGGAGAAAGTTTCAAAGCCTCTTCTGACATCTAGTTTGGTCATTTCTTTCCTTCCTGTCTTTGTAATGGCCTTTTGCTTCCTTATGTATGATGTTCTTGATGTTATTCCACAGCTTGTCGGGTTTTGTGTTGTTAGTATTCAAGGAGTCAGATCTATTCTTGGATGTTCTTTACATCAGGTGGGATGTTTTGAAGCTTGATTTTGGATCCCATGGACTTGTTTTGAGTTGCATCCTGAATTAGCATATGAGCAGTTGTTGATGTGTTTCACAGTTGGTTGTTAGCTTTGTTTTGGCTGATGATACTGAGCCTCTCTCTCATCTCTTCCCACAGATGTAGTCAATTTGATTTCCATATATTATTGCTTCTGATGGAATTAGTCACCTTTTCTGTTGTTGAAGCAGGTATTTGCAAAGAAGATGTTGGTCTTGCAAAATTTTATCACATGATCTCCAGTTTCTATCATCAAGGCCATATTTTTCAGCTACTGCTCTAACTTTTGCATTCCAATATACAGTATTTATCAATGCATCTTTATTGCATGTTTGATCCATTTCAGGCTGAAAAAAGTGGTAGTATTCCTCAATTTCACCATCATTAGCTGTAGTGCTTGGTACATCAATTTGAATAATGGCTGTATTGTGATAATTCCTATCACAGACAGCACTGTCCTTCCAGACAGATCTTGAAACCTTCTTCATGATGTGTGCTAGCCTTCCTCTTGAATTGTTCACTCCCAGAGAGTAAAGCATAGGCTGACCTGATTCAACATGGCCAATATCAGTCCTTTCCAGCTTGCCAATGGCTAGAATATTACATTTCATTTCAGTCTCAAAAACTCCCTAATTTCATACTTTCAATATCCTTTTTGATGATGGATACATGAAGCTGTTGGTTTTCATTTCGCATCCTACCTCGTCTGCAAATGAAAGTCCCCAAAGTTTATCTTCATCCACTCCAGAAGGTCAAGCCTGTTTTAAGGAAGCTTTCTTTCCCAGCATAATTTGAAAATCTTCCAAGCCATTGGGCTCATCTTCTGGCTCTGTATCGGTCAACGTTCCACTGCTCTTCTGCAGGTTTGCAGTGCGCGGTCCCTGAGAAGTAGACAGTCTATTCTTCTCGGTAATGTGTTCTCAGTCTGGAAGCTTTCATGACAGCTGTTTATCTGGAGTGATCCTCTTAGTATGTGGCCTGTTTGTGACATAGCTTTTATCATCACAGCAACATTCAACATTCAGTGTGACAGACTGATAGAGCACATGAACTTTGGGGGAGGCATTCCTTGTTTGAGTAGATACCCTAGATCATTGGTTCGCAACCTTCCTAATGCTACGACCCTTTCATACAGTTCCTCGTGTTGTGGTGACCGCCAACTATAAAATGATTTTTGTTGCTGCTTCATCACTGTAATTTTGCTACAGTTATGAATTGCACGACCCCTGTGAAAGGGTCCTTCGACCCCCCAAACGGGTCGTGACCCACAGGTTGAGAACCGCTGCCTTAGATGGAGTCTTGTGCATCAGTAAATAGGTATTATGATAATATACATTAGCATGGGAATAGATAAAATATAGTATGTTAAGACACTGACATTCTGTGCACTAGTGAGAGGGAATGAATGGACCAGATCCGTAGGGATCAACATGCAAGAGCTCTAACACACAGGTTTGAGAAGAACATTAGCAAGCAAGAAAATGATGCCTACAGGATGACATCGACATTTTGTATGTAAACAGAAATCACATGTAAAATAAAATAGGAATAAAGCTTATTTACACTCAAATTTTACACTGTTGCTAAAAAGCATTCTCTATTGCACACAAAGGCAAAGATTGATACTTGCTTATTGACTGCAAGAGTATGTGTCCCATCATGCTCCAAAGCATGTTCACAACCCTCACTTCTTGTTTACTAAAATCTCTGGTTGTTTTGATAAGCTCGCTCATCACATGCTACGGGCTTCTATATACATTAATGAGTGCAGGTGTACCTTCTTAGAAGCAATTACGGCAACTTCTAATGGAATTCTGTATGCAATGTAGTTACCACCTTTAAAGATCCTCTTGAATCTTCCGGTTCAGATGTTACGCTGAATTATTTCTCTTAATTAAAATGCGTAACACCTATGCTCAGTGCCTTCTCTCTCTCCCTGTCATCATTTTTTCTTGGAAATTAGGCAGGAGTTTATATTTCAGATCGTCAACATTGTATTCAACAGTTTTAAACCACTCATCATTACCCACCCACCCCATTAGTCTATCTCTTACCTGTTCCCTGATTTCCACTTCTTGTGAACTACCACGAGTATCTTTCATTTCATGCACGTTAACACCAGGCAACAGTCTTATCTTTCCTCCTCCCTTGCCCTCCCTGTCCCCGGCACACTCCAGAGTCTGCTCCATCAGGCATGAAAGTTTTTATCTTATCTCCCCCGCTTAGAACAGTGATCTCATATACTGTCTGTCCTTTGTGATGGGCTAATTCCACGTCACCTAAAGTTCGCCAGGTCCATTGGTGCCACGACTATTGACCAGAATCTTTGGAGGACTAGTGAGTACTTGCATTTTTCACTTAATTTACAATGCCTTATATGGATGTTTATGGATGTCATGTGTCTGTATCTCTGACCTGTTAAGTCCATTATCACTTCCTTGAAGGCAGGTTTCCTGTCTTATAGTTTCTGGATGTTTACAGAAAACCTTGGCTTCAGATCTGGGCCCACAAATAGACTCAAAATTACTTCTTAGGTTGAGTTTTATTCGATTGGTATGCATACATGATGTGCCCCTATTTTATACAAGTATAATGGTGAGACAGGTGTATTTTAAAAGTGATCTTTTCCATAATGAATGAAATACATGCTATAAGGCATGTGGCCTAATATAAACTCAGTCTACTTACTTATAGACTCAGGCTGCTTACCTCCCTATGTGTGCTTGAATATCTTCTTTTTATATATGTGAGATAAAACTTGAACCATTATCCAGTGATATTTCTGAGATTAAATTCTATGGGTAATATTGTCCATACTCACTTCCCACATATAATTTTCTCCAGTAAATCTGCTTCCATAGAAACCACTGGCTTGGACTCCCTGGGACAGTTCTGCTCTGTCCTTTAAGGTCACTGAGCAGGAACCGACTGTCCAGCAGTGGGTTTGATTGTGGTGTGTGCACTAGGTCCTCAAGTATGTGCTAGTTGTATTCCATTTTCTACACTAAAGATGAAACAGTGCAAGTTGAGAAATATCATGAACCTGCTCAAGCTGTTGGTGCCAGTTGACAGCCAGTCGGTTCTGACTCAGTTGACCTGCTGCACTCCCCAGCAGAACCCTGCCTAGTGCTGTGCCATTCGCACAGTGTTCCTAAGCCTGAGCCCATGGTGGCAGCCACTGTGCCAACAATGTCACTCCTTGAGGGTGACTTCCCCACCCCCACCTCTAGGTCACACAACTATTAAGCAGGAACTCCGTCTTTTAGATCATGCAATACACTGAATGGGCAGAGGCAGAACTCTTTTCTTACCGCCGGGGCTGATTCCAGTTGCTGTAGGCCGCATTTTGAAGTTCACTTTCTTCCCCCTCTCCTTCTTCACGCTCAGGTAGCTCGGGAATGTCTCTGTGAAAAGAGGCAGTCCACCGTGAGGACTCCAGACACCTAGCAAAACCACTGATGCTGTCTCAGGCTTCACAAAGCTCATGGAAAAGGGGGATGAACAGATAACGGAATTTTCCCATCTATTTTTCGAAAGCGCTTTGTATATATTTTATTGCTGGTTTGAGGTGAAAACAGAGAAGTACGTATTTCCCACACTTGGAGAAGTCTAATGAACCCAAACAAGCACTCTGCATTCAATTCAATGTACCATCACTTAGACTGGTGGAGCACGAAAACATTTGGCTAGTCTTCCTCTTTTACGATGAAACTTGGAAAAATTAAGAAAGAAAGAGTTGATGGGAGGTGGTAAATACCAGGATTGCCAAGAAAAACTCTTCATCAGGCATTTCTTAAAGGGCTGCAGTATGCAAGGGGCCAGAGGCACCATGTAGGGTGTAAAGATGCCCACACATTGGGATCCCTGCCCTGAAAGAGCCTGGACAATCAAATCCATCAGGAGCCCAGCCTCTCTGCTTCTGAAGGATGGGCAGAAGCTGCTCCATAACTTTTGAATACAGATGAAAAAAAGCTTATGATCTAGTTGTGACCCAATCAGAGAAGCTAGGCCCAGACTGCTCCTTCCAGGAAGTGGGTGGCTGTGCACCAAGACCAACTTAGGTTAATACAAATGCCACGCATGTAACAAATGTATCTAGTCTACTGACTGAGAGGAGATGGAACAGCAAGCTACTACCTAGAAATGGATTGATTTTTCAAAGGTGCATCAGTTTGAATCCCCTCAAGGATAACTAGCCACCAACAACAGTAATCCTATGCTTTAATATAGGACATGGCAACCAGGGCAAGAGAAACTCACGGAATCAGTTCTCCAATGCTGTATTGTGACAGTTGGTAAAAAGAACATTTTTGAAGAAACAGATAATGTTTGCTAAAAAGGCAAGATTCAAAATCATACATAAATCATGACCCTAATTTTTTTACAAAGAAAATATTATATTGAAATGAAAAAGCAATAAGGTATTAAAAAGAGTTTGAGTTTAGTGACAGAATTGTGTATAAAGCTTTTCTTGATGTATGCATAGAGATTTTTCTTTATGTGTTTTTTTTTTTAATTTTAGAGATTAAAAAAAATTCTCCGCACACTTCTTTTAGTGCAGAAAAAGTTATGACAATTATGTTTCGGAAAACATTTGCATTTGAAAAAATTTTTTTGGTGGGGGGGGGATAAAGAAATTTTAAAAGGCTTAACATTATGTGTTTGAAATGACATCCTTTCTTTTGGGATGGGAACACCGAACACTCTCAAGTGGGAAGTCCTTGCACCCTCCGGTGCCCTGTGCTTGAATGCCCAGCACATCCCAGCTGACCAGTGTGCATGCAACCGTCCAGAGTCTTCCTGAAAGTCTCTTCCTTCTTTGAGACCAATTCCGGACTTTTTTTTTTCTTTTTAATACTGATAGATTAAAATCTGTCTGCTTAAAGCTTCTTCTCACTAGCTTTCAACCTTCTGTGTTTGATGAGAAAACTGAAGAACTTGGCCGGAAAGAGGAGAGCCTGGATGAGCCTGACAGAAAGGCAGGGCTTTAGGGAAGGAATCAAAGAGAAGACTCTAACAACGGTGGCACAGAGCTGACTGGGGGGTCCTAGTGAAGCCCCAATCCATAGGACGGGGGACATCGAAGTGAACACGGGGCCAAACCTGCTGGAAGGACGACTGGACAGAATGTGACGGAAAGCAGCCCTGGAAGACAGAAAGGACTAAGACTTGGAAAACCCTCTACCTTCGAGTCAATTCGACCCATAATGACCCTATAGGACAGGAGCGAACTGCCAAGCAGGGTTTCTTTCTGGGAACAGAGGGTCACATCTTTCTCTGAGCTGTAGCGGGGGGACTCAAACTGATGACTTTTAGTCAGCAGCTGACCTCTTTCACCACGGGCCCGGCAGGGCTATTTATCTATAAGGCCGATATCTTAAATCGTGAGCCTTATTTTCCCGTTTTTTCAAATGATTCTACAACCTCAAATCTGTTCATCAATTGAAGCACGCTCACTAAAGATGCTGGAGCGCCTTCACTCGTCTTACAAATGTGGTACCCAGGACTCAAGGGACATGAGGAGTCCACTTGGCAGAAAGGCCCTGTTCTCCTCCCTCTGGGCGCAGCTCTCTCCAACTGAGAGAGACCTCTCTGTTCCTGCGTCTCAGTGTTGAACACCAGTGAGCTTTGGGTCAACGATCACAGTGAGTTCTTTTTACATCTTCATTTACATCTGCACCAGGTACAGTACACCAGGTACACATCTTCATGTACATCTGCACCAAGTTTTACCAGGAGACGGCAAAAGTGAGAACCCAAAGAGGCTATCCAACTAGAGAAACCTGGTTCTTACCCTGCAGGGTTTGCTGCCACCGACTCTCCGTACTAGACCTGGGCAATTATTTGGATCCACATTTAGAACTTTAACTCTGATCCGTCTATAGAAAAGTGGAGTTTAGTGATAAAGAACATGGGATTTGGAGACGAACTGCTTAGACTCCAATCGTGGCTGTGATGCCTATCAGCTGTGGGTCTTTAGCAAGTGACGTCAGCTCTCTCGGATACAGATCCGTTCTCTGTAGCATGCAGAGAGCTGTGCTGGCCTGTTTTTGTTGTAAGCATGCTCACAGGAACAGCTGACCAGCCTCCTCTGCGGCAGCAAGCCCTGCTGCACACGTTCCCTTCCTGTGTGTGCTGCGGGAGCACAGCGCTGGGTGGAGCTAGTTTCTTCCATAACTCGGAGGGCTTTCAGGGCCTCAAAATTTAATAAACATGAAATAGAATCTTGGAATCTTCTTTGACTAGATCATTGCAAACTATATTTCAAAGGGACACTGGGATGACTGTTTTTGACCATTTCACAGGCAGCATTGGGAAGCAATGATCAATTTCTGCCCCCTACCCTAAAACTTCACAAGGCTCCAAAGACCATGATATCCCTTCCCTCTGTTAAACACATAGTGCTCCTCCTTCCTTTCTCTAACACTCCCTGCCAACTGAAGCTCCGTCTGGTTTGCACCGGGAACAGTGCTGCACTATTTAGATGCCAGCATCCCTGGGCATGGGGTGTCTAATGATGTTCTGATGTCTTCTGAGGTACTGCAGGAGACCTCAGAGAATCAGCAAGGCCATCCCTGCTCTCCGCCATGCCGAAGGAGTTTCAAAGGCAACCCCCCAAAATCAGGTCCATAGCTGAGAAGGTGAAATTGTACGGCTTCACAGAAACGCAATTGGACATAATTTCTCTCCCTGCTATGAACGTGGTCAGTGGCTTCACTTTTCCTAATGGAAAAATTAGTAATATTTTTATTAGGAGCCTTTAAAAAGACAACACAGTGTTGTCTATGAGGCCTACATCTCAGGGCACTCAGCTCAACATTTCTCCATAAAAACAACTAAATAAAAAATCAACAACCACAAAAAAGTTTCTGAATGCCCAAGAATGTTAGCAAAAAATAAACACAATTTCTGATGATGTTAGAAAATATTTACGGAGGAGGAAATGCATGATATAAAACTATACAACTTAAGGTCCTGGGAAATGAATGAAATCATATTTCTATCGACAGTGATTTTGCCAAACTCAGAATGTGAAAAAGAGCTGCGTGGTAAAATTGAATATGGTTTTAATTTCTTGATTTCACTTTTTACGTATTTCCCCAATTTTCCACACTTCTGATTTACTACCCAAGTTACTGGTGAAAATATTATAAGAGGGAAGCAGTTTTTCCCTCCATTCAGTTGCTTTCCCTTTTCAGAACGCTTCATTCTAAGGCAGTGGGTCTCAACCTTCCTGATACAGATCCTCACGTGGGGCTGACCCCTCCAACCATCAAATGACTTTTGTGTTGACTTCATCACTGTCACTTTGCTACTGTTATGAATCTGGTGACCCCTGTGAAAGGGTCATTCGACCGCTTGGGAACCGCTGCGCTAAGGCGTTCCATTCTATGCTGTCTTCATGCTGGCAGATGCAGTGGGTCACTTACCTTCCAGTGAACGAAGAAAAAAGACTCAGGGCCATTATTCCGCCAGCTTGTTGTTCCAAGCGTACTCTGAACTCCTCCAAGTGGTCTGCGGGCACATAGGTGACTCTGAAACAGAACACAGTCCACGACAGTGAAGGGAAGTCATGTCTTGCCTAACTGGCAAGAAAAGCTTCCCGAGTTAAAGCAGATTGTCTCTGCAGTGCTACTTCTTCAAACACCGGTTTAGTCCAGCTACTCAGAAGAATCGAAGTTCAAAAGGAGATCATCGGCTCTGGACAGAGTATTCTACAGGCAAGATTCCCAAGAGGAATTCCATTTTAACATGCTGCTGATACACTTACCAATAAGCACATGAGGGCAAAAAGTAGCATTATTTAGAGCCCATAACCAGAATATAAATAGTAATATTTTGAAATTAGTAAGAGCTAAAAATCTTTACCATGGGACGACATTACTTTTCACCAACGATTTCTGGGTTTCCTGGCAGAAACAAATTAGGTGCACTCCTCCAGGTATCTAACATTACTTCATATTCTCCCGTAACTTGTAATTAATTATAGACATTAACAATCATCACTGATAATTACATGTTAGTTCTATTAAATTATGAACTGTCAAGTCTGAAGTTTAGCCATTATATGTTTATTGAAAAATCCCTCTCATTAATTGGTACCGGTGTCTTACAAACTCACTTAGGTTTCAAAAGAAAAAGCAATAATAACAACAACCAAAAAAAAAAAAAGAGTTGACTGTTTTTACCTGAATGGCCATTTACAGATTCAGAGAGTACCGGATGCCTGCCTAGTTTGGTAAGTCACTATGGGGGGCATGGGCTACAACTGTAACGATCTGAAACCAACATCGGAAAATGTAGACACTTGCTATTCTTCAGTAAAAACTATGTTCATCAGTGGTGCGCTTTTTCAAGGAGACCCTTCCAACACTGTCAGATGAACAGGCAATAGAATTACTCAATCAGAGGCCATTTGCGTATATTCCATTAACATAGTAAAGGTATATGTCAAAAATCCACAACCCTGATATCAATATTAAAGACCAGTAAACTACCTGCCGAAAGCTTTCCATAAAGACACCAAGTATATAAACAACTTTAGCCATGGAGGACAGAGCCGACAGGAAAGGCTTTCATGTGATCATAAAATAAAAATGTGGCAGTGGTATCATGTATGGAGGGGGTCGTATATGGCTTCTGCTTCAACGGTTATTTCCTAGCAAGCGTCCACCCCGTGAGGGAGGTCATGCAGGATTGGAGCAAGATGACAGATTTGCAGTTCATCATCAGGAGGGTGTTTGGTAAGACGCCCCTTCCTGGCCACAAAAAGGACTCGGTGCTCAGCCACGTAGGGTCCCTCAGGCCAGCCCAGTGCAAGAACCCTTTGCACATCTCACAGAAAAACAAAGCAAAGCAAAGGCGCCAAAAGCACACTGCAGTGGACTCCCAACTAGACTGACTGGGAGCTTCATTCCAATTCCAGTCCTATTTCATTCAGTCCGTTATAAAAACACCTTCCTCTTAGTCGTTGCACAAAAACACATTAGATGTCTTGCTGCTGCGCCTTCAAAACAAGCGATGCAAAATGACTGCACTGCGTCTGGAGAGAAGATGATATGCTTTCTACAAAGACACACGAAAGTTACAACCTCCAACCTGAAAAGCCTGTGCAGGGAAACAGACAGGCTTTGTGGAGTTCTGATAAAAGTGCTCAGAATAAAGAAAACCTGAAGAGAAAGAAACAGGACGATGACAACAACAACGAGGACAGGAGATCACATTAGTGAAAATCCAATTAGTCCAAAGTGCTCCAATTTTAAATTGATCAGAGAAAGAAAAGGTGTTTCTGCTCCAGCCAATGTTTTGAAAATGGGCTTCCTCCTGTAGTTTTTCAAAGCTGCTTTTCTTGTCACACACACACACACACACACACACACACACACACACACACACACAAGAGGGGGTGGGGAATCCTGCACAAATATTTTCTGGGATACTTTAGGTAGGTATGAGAGAGAGCGAGGCAGTCAGCTTTCATAAATATGTCGCCTTATCTAGACAGTGTGGCCATTGTGCCAGCATCCCACAATGCAACAGGAAATGCAGAGCAATTGGTCTCAAAGCCACACCCCCACATCCCCACCCAACCCCCTAGTCCCCAGTAAAGAATGCCAACCTTGTATTTCTGTGTCAGGAGCAGGAGCAATTGTGACAAGTCAACTGACCTTGGCTTCCAGGTGGAGGGGAAGGCACAAGAACGCCATTGGCGCGGCCAGAGGGTGATGCGGTCCTCTGTCTGCGCACGCTCACGGGAACAGTCCCTGACAAAGAGGAGCTTTCCAGCCTGGTGGGTGGAAACACGCTCTCCAAATGAGTTCACCACCGTCAGTGCCATGTGAAACGCACCCTCTCCGGGCTCTGTGAGCACGGGGAGCCCCTCTCCTTATATCCAGGCAAAAAGAAACAACGCAAAAGCCCACATGTATGCACGGCCTCTATCTCAGGGATGTTACAAAAGCACGGAATGGTTTTCACAGACAAGTTGTAACATACAGCCACAATCAGCTTTTGAATCACCGATACTCACACATGAAAGGGGGTTCAGTCGTCAGCAGGTGCTGGAGAAAATCTAGAATGTGGAGCATACGCTGTGGCATCTTTTTTACAATGGTGTTAACAAATGTCAATGTCTTGTGCTGAATGTGAGATGCATACATATGTAGTTAAAAGTGGGTGCTCCTGGTTGGTGTGTTTTTCCTCTCCCCTTTCCACCTCCCTCCCATCTCCACCTCCCCCAGAGAAGCATCTGCTCTTCACTGGTGTCTATAGCAGTGATGATTAACAAGCTTGGGAAAATGTAACTGCAATCAATCTTTTATTCCTTGATCAGGAATTCATCCCACACTTTGGGTTAAGGCAGGTGAATTCTGATTCAGCTCGGTAATTATCTGGCAGATGTTGGAGGCAGCTGCTGCTAGGCGCAAAACCCTGGCTATTATTACAGAAATAGAAGAGCTCCTGGCAAGGTGGAGTGAGAAGTGAAACAGAATGCATTCTGGTGAGGCTTCACATCTGGTTTTCCATAGAAAATAATGAAACCTGGAACTTAAACGGGCTGTTCTTGAACTCTTGAAACTCAAATTATCTACCCAGGGAAGCATGAAACTGCACATGCGCACACACACACACAGAGCTGTTACCAAGTTATCATAAATTGGGGGGAGGGGGGGAAAGGTAGGAAAAGAATGAAGAAATCCAGGGTGTTATCGAAACAATCAAGTCTTTTCCCAAAACCCAGTCAGTTCTGCAACTGAACCATTTAGCACCTTTCCATATCCCCACCCCAGATTAAGCTGGGTTCCTAACAGTTATCAAGATGTTGAGTGGAGCCAAGAACCAGGGATCTGCAGCATTTCAGTGGCCAGAGGCAGAGGTCTCATACAGTATAAGATAGTGGCTAAATTTATTTTTTTTGGCAAGGGGACAACACACCTTGCTTTCAAGTTAAATATAAATGCAAACTTCAAGGAATACACTGCTCAGTCCTGGTTAACCTAAATGGTGGGCTATTTTTGTTTGTCATTTGACACAAGTTTTCCCTAATGGGATTCTATAAAAATATAGCTGGCTTGTCCAATGAGTCAATCTCTATAAACATACCGAGTCAGAGCTTATGCAGAACACTTGATGTCAATGTGCTTTTTGAGTGTGTGTGTGTGTGTGTGTGTGTGTGTAGGAGAGAGAGGGTGAAGGACTGATTTCCAGCAGCAATATGGCTATAGTTAGGTTCCTTTCTTACTTTTTAAATGTAAGATTCTACATTTTGCCCCCCTGAAATTCTAAAGCAATTACTTCTAAAATACCTCTCTAGAGATCCTTCAATCTCCTAATAAAGGCCCTGGCCACATGAAATCGGTAAATTCTGGTATTGAATCTGAGGTGAAAAAATGGGGAAAAAATATATATATACACACACACACATATATATACCTGATGATGAAACAAAATGCCAAAGTGATGTCAGATGGTCTGATAATCTGGGCATTTTTCATTTCTGCAGGGCATTCGAACCAAGGGCTACGTGTGGCACTCAGCAACCATTGTGGCAGCCAGAGTTCCAAAGCAGGGTAAGAGACCTTAGATCAGTGTGCAGAGCAGAGTACACATATCTCACTGTGCAATACATCAAATGAACAGTTACTGGCCCCCCTATATTTTATGCTATAGCTAAACTATGTAAGTTAAAGCCCATGCCAAAAAATAGTTTCCAGATCATTCATCTTTGAGGCAGAAGAAATAAACACTTGCCCCCACGTTGGACAGAAAGTATCTCTTATTTCTTAATGTAGAAGAACTAACATTTTTAATGAGGTTCACTTGTACTTGCATTATTAATAAGGTAATTAAAGAACAGTCACATGATCATATCAACTGTAAAATCAATGTCAAAAAGGCATGTCAAAACTATGAAAGCCCATTAGGGAAATTCCTGCCTAAAATACATATATTTTGCATTAGACAGCAGAGTCTACTCCAAAAAGATACACATGTTCTGCTTTTCATTGACAGGGGAATGAAATCCAGATTGTAAATATAGCCTTTCATACCTAAGCTCTAGCAATATATGCTTTGCAATATAACTAGTAATAAAAATGCAGTTAGTAAAATAACATTAATAACAGTCGGCCATAACTAACTAGTAATTATTAGATCAATTTAAAGTAAACAGTCTTTTCCTGTGCTCTTATTCTACTATTATACCTCTTGTACATATATTAAATGCAAATATTCAAAGACTAATGCTCACAAAAGGCTAAGTTATTACATTAATGAAGTATGACTGTAAAGCCATGAAGTGATTTTCATTTTGGCTCAAAGAACATTTTGTGACTTAATATCCGAACCATATATATGACATGCTTTTAATACATGAAGGGATTATAGGACATTTTAAGCACTTCCTGACAAAATAGACAATATGAGCTCCAGCCAGCCTATACCAAAATGCAAGTGAATCCCCTGCAGTCACGAGTTAGTTCTAGGAAGTGCAAATTATGCGCCAGACTAAAAGAGTTCTAGTCTTTTCCCTGCCTGGCCTTAAAAGAGCTAGCCTAGTTTTAAGATCCTCAGAAGTCAATCTGGTATTACACAACTCATCATGCTAAATCCATTTCAAAAGTATGGGGAAGGTCCTCAGCGGCTCTTCCTGCTCCGTGAGAGATGTCTCCAGGCAGGCCTAACATCTGGCTCCAGAGTGGTTCTTGAAACCCCAGGAACTCTGGGAAGGCCATGCCTCATGGAATATTTATTAAGTTATGGCTTTTATCTCTTTTTCCCACAGGCTGGCCTTCTGGTCCTCTAATAGTATATCAAATCTCTCCCGTTCCTTCCAGTGGTGACCCAGACAATACCAAGATTGCAAAAATCACCGAAGAAGTATAATTAAGTGCTCCACGTGGTCCTTTCAGCACTGTGCTAGTCTTTAAAAAGATAAACAAATCAGGTTCTGGTGGGGCTTATGCTAAATAAAGAGGTGGTCCATTTTCTATTAACATATGTATATACCGGAGGGAAGAAATCTGATAGATGAAATTGAGATCTCTGAGTTGCCAAGCCACACCGGGATACAAATGATACCTACTTTATGTCAGGCCCGATAAGAGAATGTCTTCTCAACATGGCTCGGGCCTGGGCATTGGTCAAACTGATGGTGGACTCTTCGTTAATGGACAAGATGCAGTCCCCAATGGCAATCCGGCCGTCTCGGCTGATGGCACCGCCGTGAATGATGCTCCGAACAATCACACCTAGGCCGTCCTTGTTAGCGCTCACGGTCATCCCTGTGAGAGAGAGGAAGAAAACGCCGTGAAGTTCACTTTCACTTTGAGCGTAATATAAGCTCATGAATCCAGGGATAAAACAATCAGGGTTACTTCTTCAAGACAATAAAACAGAATGTGCAATAAACAAAAAGGAAACATTGTCTGAATAGCAGCCCAAAAAATGGAAGTAGATTTTGAAATGTGTAATCTTATCGAGGTTCAATACACTCCGTATTGAGTATGTTAGAGACGAAATGACTCTACACTACGGGACATTTGATGCGCTTTCTAGGGCACAGAAAACTCTCTCGGGTGGTGTTCTGTTGAACAATGTAGAATATATTTAACAGGAACAATTCATTTCTTATACAAGTAAGAGAACAAAAAGTAGGTCTACAAATGAAACGTGTTCTGTAAGTTGGGAAACACTCTTACACTATTTCGAGATTGTTCATGGAGCAATGCTGACTGTGTGTTGTGCTCTAGGTTGGCTTCCGGGGAGAAAGAAAGCATAATGCATTGTTCCAAACAAGAAAGTGCCTATGTTTAAGTCTTCGTCCCGGTGCGATGACCCAGTGCCTTATTCTGTTGTCTGCTGAACTGAAATGATTAGCTCTAATTTAATCCCAAGAAGGTCTGGTGGGAGGGGGTTATAAACTGGATTGCCGACTGCAAGAAGAACGATGAAGCACCCTACTCCAGGAAAGGTTACGGTCTCAGAGACTCCCAGGGCAGTTCTGCTGTCCAGCTGTGTAGCTAAAGTCAGAACAGCCTTGATGGCAGTACTCGCTTTAGTTTTCTTTTCATTTTCATTTTGTTTTTTTGAGAAGCTAGCTCTATATCTGAACTCCTTGGTGCTCCAGATTTGGATAGTCAATGGTCCTTTGGCATGTCCCCAGATGTCTCACAAGAAATGCAACCTTACTACGTCCGACTGTAAGCTGTCACTTTTTGCCTCCCCTGACTTCTCCCTTTAGTTCTCATGGGTGGACAGCATCCTCACACTGCTCGCCGTCATCAAAGCCACAACCTAAGAGTTACTTCTGGTTCCATTTCGCTCTCCTCGTATTGTCAAAATCCTGGCCTCCAACATTGATCTTGAATCCATTCACCTTTCTCTATGTCCAATCTAAACCTAGGCCAAGCTCCCATCTTGCACTGCTGAACTTTATACAATGGCCTTCTCTCTGGTCTCTGTGTAAGTCACATCCCAGCACTTCCTCACTCCAAACGTTTACAAATCTACTCTTATGCTAGCACACAACAGACCTGCTCAGCACAGTCTCTAAGCACCAGTGGGTAGACCCGCCTCTAACACACTGCTTCCTCTGTGCCCTGTGTCCTCCGTGCTTCCTGTGCGCTAGGCATGAAGGCCATCTTTAAGACATGCAAACACGCCCTGCGTCTCCCTTTCCAGGGACAGTGCCTGAGCGCTCTTTCTGCCTCGGTTGCCTCCTTCCTCTTGAATAACCCTTCCTCAGGAAGGCTTTCTGAATACAGCAGGGCTTGAGTTACTCTTCACACTATTTGGATCTTGATTCCTTCAAAAACACACACTGGTTTTTAACATTGTATCTAAAATGCACACCCGCTGCTGTGGAGTCCGCTTCACCCACAGAGACCCCAGGAGATGGCCTAGAAGCGTCCCACAGAGTTTCTGAGGCCCCAGTCAGATCTTTCTCCCAGAGCGGCTCATAGCACAAAAACATCAACCTTTGGGTTCACAGCCAAGTGCTCAATCATGGTGCTAAGATCCCATAAAATATGAAATTTCACTTAAAATCAAGTGATAAAAGGCCCTTCCAAAATAGATGGATACAAAGGTATAATGATGTTTTTAACAAGTTTCATTGAACATAGCCACAGATTTCTTTTAGACCCTTTTACCAATTGAAAATACACAAAAAGAAAATCGGAAGGAAAACCGTTGTCTATACAGGAGCCGGTGACCATGGATTTCGCTCCAGCAGAACCACTGCGTGGATTCACATAGCAACCTTGTGGTTGGCAGCCATGTGCTGAGCCATTCTGTCAAATCAGCAACATTATTATCAAACATATTTTTAAGAAAACCTTGATTTTTAATAAAAAATCATTTTATTGAGAGCTCATACAGCTCTTATCACAATCCATCCATCCATTGTGTCAAGGACATTTGGACATTTCTTGCCATCATTATTTTCAAAACATTTTCTTTCTGCTTAAGCCCTTGGTATTGGCTCCTCATTCCCCACCCCGCCCATGAACTCCTGATAATTTATAAATTATTATTATCTTTTTCATGTCTTATACAGACAGATGTCTCCCTTCACCCACTATTCTGTTGTCCATCCCCCTGCGAGGGGGTTACATGTAGATCATTGTGATCGGTCCCTCCTTTCTCCCCGCACCTTCCCCTTACCCTCCTGGTATTACGACTCTCATTATTGGTCCTGAGAGGTTTATCTGTCCTGGATTTCCTGTCTTTCTGGCTCTTATCTGTACCCGTGTACATAACTTTGATTGTAATATGATTCTAACCTAATATCTCACATCAGGCTATGGACAACAAGACTGTCATTTTCTGACACATTCTTCTGTCATGGCCAACTGTACTGCAAATCTGCTGTTAAGACTCATGCGAGTGATCTTTAAACTCATCATTATTAAAGAGACACCTCCTTTCTTCACAAAGCAGCCAACAAGTATTTTCATCCTGAGTGGTTTTCTCATAGGCAAAGACACAGACTCGGAAATGTCTCACTAGATCTAAGTTTGCCCCGATGGAGCCACCCTTTCCACGGACACCCATCCAGGAGCTTCACTAGGGTAAGACTGAAATGCATGACACAGGCGAAACTTAGCTTGACAGTCCACACTGGCAAATTCGCTCACCTTTCAGCTCTAAAGCAACATAACCCAATGGACCACAAATCTAAAAAATATATTTTAATGGTCATTATACCCACTATGTATGTGTGCAGATCTTCCTATAACATTGCCCCCACTTAGATGTAACAAAGCTAAAAGAAAGTGAGCCGAGAAATCAAAACAAATGGATTACGACTGCATTTATGGAAAGCTGTCATTGAATAATCATTTCTTCTGATCCTCACTACATAAAGAAAAACGCATCACCCAGAAAGGGCGCCTCAGCCAGCCATTGAAGAAAAGTGCGGTTCCCAGACCAAACCTCAGGACCCACGCTACAGAGATGTCCGGAAATGTCCTTTATCACAATTTGTGTCACGTCCAGTTGTACAGGTAACACTTTCCAACGTTAAATTTAAAATGCAACGGAATGTTTTGATTAACTCAAGATTTTAAGGCTAGGGAGGCTTTTTAAGAACAGGCCTTACTGCATGACTCCTTTACATTCAGTCTCCCAAGTGCTGCGGAAACCTGATCCTCTGACACCTCCTGTCCAATGAGGTAACAGAGAAACGTGCTCATCTTGGCAGGCAGAATCTCAGATCCAAGGTGACAGAGCGCCTGCCCTGGGTTCCAGGACACCAACCCACCAGGGATGAAGCCCTATTGATCTTGGTGTGATGGGGATTCATTCCAATAATGGAAACGGAGAGGAAAAGTCAAGCTAACGGTGCTTGCCCTTCACTGTACAACCCAGTTGGCAAACCTCGGGTGGTCTGCTCTTGCACCTGTCAACGCAGGTTTATGCCCCGCGAAGCAAAGGAAAGAACTCTGTTCTACCCAAACTGGAAAAGTAAGCTTCTGAGGTTCGAGTGGCTTTCCTGATAGCAGAGAAACAAGCGTGTCACTTCTTTTCCATCCCTAGGTGCTCACTCATGTAGCATGCTTTTAAAATCAGAAGTTGACCATGGCATGACTTGAATCCCAAATTGTATGGCAAGTGATTGCCAATGCCAATAAATGAAAAAATAAAATAAGACCTGAAAGAAATGTACTGGCATGGCTCTTTAGCTTTCAAAATAATTACAATTTGCTCCCTTCATTTTTCAGTGGAATTAGTTTTGGGCTGCAAAGCATGACCCTTTCAAAACAGAGACTGAGTGGAACGAACAAAATATCATCAACGGCATTAAAATATTGAAAAATGTCAATGACAAAAATGTCATCTTAATAAACAGCAAATAAGACTACAGAAGAACACCATTTAATACACCTGGGATTAATTTTGTCAACACTAAGAGGCAGATGTTACAGGTGGGATATCATTACAACAAATGTATGAGAAGACGGTCTGTCATTACAGCTGGTATGAAGGTCAGTTCTGGGCTAGTATCAGTGACGCACTGACCAGAGGTCCTCTTACCACACAGATTAGCCACCCTTGCTCAGAAGAGATGCTATGAGTAAACCCAAAATTATTTGGAGACACCTAAAACCATTATATTTCCCATGTGAAATAGTGATGAGTGAAAAGAATATATGTTCCTTAAAATACATAAAAAACCTGTGCTGCCTTGTAGACAGACAAGACTGCACCGGCTGAGAATTATTCTGGGCTGGGATTATTTCTTAGGTGGGTATATCATAGAAGGCATGGGACCTCTAACATTGAGGTAGCCAAGTGTGCTTCAGTGCATTCGGACAAACTGATTTAGCCCACTGTTTACAGGCACCAGGAACTAAGGACAGAGCAGAGTTGTATAGCTGCTTAACTCAGGGAGCGAACAAACCGTTTCCCTTATTGCAGTGAGGATTAAACGTCTATGGGCGGTCATCTTTGCCGGAGCTAAAGGGTTCCACGATCATGAAGCAGCTGCTATGGTTTCTGGGTAACAGCAGACACAAAACTCTTGTCACCTGGGAAGAACTAGTGAATAACTTGCATTGATATTTCGGTGGTGGCACACCTGGCTGTCTTTCTAGTCTTTATTTCAGTGAATGAAGGAAATTAGATCCAAACTGACTTATGCATAATGGGTAATATTCAAAGAAACTAATAATTTACTTTTGCAAAGAATTTGGAATTCTAAATCGCTAACTTTTCAATTTTAAGAATCCCTTTTCTGATTCGCTGCTTCATAGACAAACAATTCGTAACTCTTTTTTCTTGAATGTAAATGAGGTTTGTGAATACTTTTAAATAATTAAGGGAGTGGGGAATTCAAGCTAGCCTGAAATAAACAAGGCTGCTAACCATTTCTGAAAACAGAATGAATACATAGAAAGGCAGATCATGAAAAGAGACAGGGACACTCTGATCGTCTATTTTCTCAGCTACAGGGAAAATTCACTGACCGACCTTCACGTGTTCAGCATTTCCTGAGTGGGGCGGTGGACGGAGCACTTCCGTGCAGACAATGAGGAACTCACCTAGGCTAGAATTGCCTTTTGCGATTGTAATCGTCCTCTCATATGACTCTGCGGATGTGTTTTGTAACATGGCACAGTCAGTGGGAGAAGCCAGGGCGCTCTGTTCAAGTAAATACTCGGAGCCCTGACAGAAAGAAAAACAAGTCACATGAAAGGGACAACTAGACTTTGGAGTGGCATTTCAACATCCCACGGGCTCTCTTCATGGCTGGGCCTCCCCTACCCCCATCCCCGCCATCCCCAGCAAGAACCTATAACCCCAACAAGGCCATTGGCTGCTTTCGAAGAATGTCAAGGTCAGGAAACACTTTTTCTACAAGCAGATTAGGCAGGCTACTCTTACCGACTCACCACCCCACCCCCAAAAAAGTTAGCGCTGAAATCTCACCCTTCCGGTTGAATTGGGGAGCACGGAGGAACTCGGCTCTGCACTCGATGTAACGTCATCTGCGAGCTGAGATTCCGCCCATGCCGCTGTGCTTTCACATTTGTACTGTTGCTCAACAGGGTTTGCCGGCAGGTAATCGTTGACTATAAACTCAGCAGCGGGCCCCAAGCTCAGGTCCCCTGGGGGCATGTGCTCATCCTGTGGGCGCAGGAGACTCTGGGCATACAGTGCCTCCACTGACATACGCAGATCGAGGACCGGGTCTGAAGGATTTTCAGCAATGTCCTGGTGAATCAAGAATTTTCAGCACTAAGGGCTGCGATCATCAATGCACAATTATCTTTTGTCAGGTGACTTATTAATGAATAAAACACGATTGTTCAGGACTCAGAAGCTCACAACCCATTCATTCACTCAACAAATTTTTTCCCATTAATGCTTTCTGCTCTCTCCTGCAAATCATACAGCTCATGTATACTGCTCTTAAAGTCTAGAGAAAACGCCATGACCTCTTTGCAAATAACATCACCCAGAATTCCAACTACATAGTGAAGCAAGTAAGAATCATCGCCAAGTCACAGTTCAAATGCAGATCATTTCCAATCAGTCTGAAGGCGTTCCTATTTTGTGGTGAAATCTAGAGCATGAAAAACATTTACTGATTCAGATTCCCAAGAGCCTCCAAGAGAACTGGTAGGCATCTATGGAGAAGATAAGGAAGTCATTTACATCAGCTTATTATGGGGAATTTTCCACAAAGTATCTGGAAGATCAACCAGAAGGAATCCTACGATCGGGTGCCTTGCTTGCTTTGGGCGAACATTATGTTGAAGGAAGCAGACGACTAGCCAAGGCCAGCAGAACTCAGAGCCAGAGGGGTTAATGCAATGGTTACAATGGTGGACACCACATGCTGGTGACTGTGAGGTTGACAGAGAAACCAGGTAACCACTGCTTCTATGAGTTGTAAACTCATGATGTCTATCTACCAAACAACTGATCAAAGGAGAGAGAGCACACAGGTCAACTTAATGCTCGCTTTTCAACCCTAACGAGAACCATCCAATAAGTGTGTTTTACTTGCCTTTTGGCAGTGCCCTTATAGTAGCGAGATTTCCAGATCAAGTAAATAAATGCCAACTTTCATCTTCTTATGGCTATAAAATATCGCTAAGTATAAAAGGTAGGAGAGAGTTGGCAGCTAGCTCTAAGCCAGGTTCAGACCCCTGGGTTCAGATACGGGCTCCACTAAAAATTGTTTGAGTAAGTTTTTTAAGCATTCATCTATAAACCAGGATTAATAATAGGGCCAAGAAGAGAAGCTGGGTAGTGCAAATGGTTAAGCCCTCAACTACTCAATGAAAGATGGGCAGCTCACGCCCCCCTCCCCCAGAAGCACCCCAAAGCACAGTCCTGGCCATGCATTTCCAAAGGGTCATAGCCTTCCAAACCCTATGGCACACAGATCTACTTTGATTCCTAAGGGGTTACCACAAGGTGGGATCTATTCCATAATAATGACAACGACAAGAATCATCGGATTACTGAGGAGGTGAAGAAAGTCCCTCTCTACAGAATACTAAGCGCTGGCCTGAATAACTAGGAAAGGAGCCAACATCACATAGTGGGCTAGGCCCTTGAGCTGCTGCCCACAGGTCAGTGATATGAACCCATCAGCTGCTCGCAGGAGAAAGAGGAGGCTGTCTGCTCCCATGAAGATTTAAAGTCTTAGAAACTCAAAGGGCAGTTCTACTGTTCCAGAGCGCTGCAATGAGTTAGAATGGGCGCAAGGGCAGTAAATTTGGGGGTTTTTTTGCACAGTAAATATTAGCTACCGAGATAATTTTATTAAACATCTTGGTGCACATTTGTAAAAAATGCACTTAGTATGAACTCACAGACTTGCAATTGTAGGTCAAATGATATGCACCCTTAGAATGTTGATAACACAAAGCAAACAAACAAACAAACCAAAAAACCCAAACTCACTGCCATCAAGTCAATGCTGACTCACAGCAACCCCCTGTGGGTTTTCCAAACTAACTGCTTACCGGAGTAGAAAGCCCAGTCTTTCTTCCATGGAGCAGCTGCTGGTGGTTTTGAACTGCTGACCACGTGGATCACAGCCCAATGGGTAACCAGCACACCCCCAGGGCTCTGAGTACAGCCAAAGTGTCTCCGAATATTGAGCCCGCCAAACAGATTTTGAGACTATCCATTATTCATGTTGCCATGCCTAGATCTCTTTGTCAATCCTATCGGTAAGAAGTGTAGCCATTACTCTGTTCTATGGTGTCTCCAGCTCTTGGTGGATATACCATCTGTAGATCTTCTTCTGTGAGCCTTTTCAGAAGCTTTAGCAAACTTGCTACAAGGTAATTTTTACTTGTTCTTATCATTTACATGATGTGAATGTATAAAGTTATTGTCCACAATATATATTTCAAATATTTTCCCAGTCTGTCACTTACCTCTTAAGTTTGCATTTTAAGTTTATTTTGTCGTATTTTGTCATGAAGTTAAATTTTTTATGTAATCAAATTTGTCAGTTTTCCCTTTGTGTGTCTGTGCTTTCTAGCTTGTATACTAAACCCTGCCTCTACACAAGGCAATACTTCCTAGTAATTTTTTTCTACTTCATAAATATTTTCAGATCCAATTTTAACCCATCCAGCATCTATTTCAAAAGGGTACTCAATTGCTCAAACATAAACATTCTTCAACTTACATACAAATTATCCTCTTTCTGGAAATAAACAAAAAATTCCTGATACAGAGGATTAAGGTAAGTGAGGCTCTCATACAAATATGTAACATCTTTATCTTCTTCCAGGGCAAATGATATAAAACTGTAAGCCGCACTTTCCAAGCATAAACAATAATCTACTTGCTCAATGGTGAGTTTATCCTTGTGAAAAGTAACAATGGACTCACAATAGAGGTGGCTAACTTCTGTGTGGCTAAATTAATTATAAGAATTAGCATCTTCCCCAGGCCTCAAACAAAGATAATCATCAAAACTGCTTATCATCAAAAAAAGAGGTCAAGCAGTCGTTAGCTAGGGTGTGCTGGAAATCATGTAACAGAAACGTCCATGTATTATTCATGAAGGAGTTAACACAGACACACAAAAAATAAAGAGCTAATCAACACAGCAGACAACATACGCCTACTCCAGAAACGGTTCTGGTTGCTGAACCACCAACTGAGTTTTATTTTTAAAAGTCTTAAGGATCTAAAAGAAAAGCAGCTCTTCCCCCAGAATTTGTCCAAAAATAACTCTGAATTTCCCACTGCAACTTGGTATCTCAAGTGAAGTCTTTTAAAAACCCACTTTAATAAGTGCCTCCACTGGGTGCATTCTTGTTCTCCGAGAAAAAGAGAAAGCAAGTGAGGTCAAGAAACATGGCACACGCACCGACCAGCAACTCCATGTCCTGAGTGTGAATTGTCAGGATGGCCGAGATGGAATTGTGTTGGCTGGAAATCTGTGTTTAATTTCTGACCCGGTGCCCTTGGATGTGATCCTGTTTTAAAGAGGGTTCCCTTGGGTTTTTGATAAGGTTGTGCCAGTATCGGGTAGATCCTAAATGTGATCACTTATGAATTATAAAAAGACCACGGCAGACACAGTAACTTTTAAGATGGGAAGACAGATGCCAAGCAGCCACGGGATGCCTGGGGCTGCCAATGACGAAAGAATCCACGTGACTAAGACACTGGTGTCGACGTGGAGCTGACGCCAGGAGAAAACGCATGCCCATTCTTTAAAGTCACCACTGGGGGCACGTGTGATACATGAGCACTAGGTAAATAAGAGCCTGATACGTGGGTCCTTTGTTTACCTAGATAATCTATTTATAGAGACTAAGTACTTAACCATGCACTAGACCCAGACTTGGTTTCTTCAACAGTCAGATAACTTTATATCTATCTATCTATCTATCGATATAGATATCATCTATATCTATATATAATTATATCTATCTATCTGTATAATTAAGGACGGCTGTTCCAATTTATCATTATCTTATATTCTCTTAAGTTTTCTGAGGTTCAGAGGCAAGGACCACACTGATTGTTCGTACACTAACCCTACTGAGGAAAAGGGAAGCGTCTCTTGTACCAGCAGGTTTGTCATGAAGGTTTTTGTCATCATTCGTTCCTACGTGATGGGGAGTAAGCTGTTTCCCAGTCCTCACCCTTTCCCCCAAATAAAAACAAAAGATAAACAAGAAACTATATAAGCAGTTGCAGCAGGGCTGTGAAGGCAGCAGTAGAGGAGGCCAGAGAATGACACGAACTGGGGATGGGTAGGAACATGCAGAAGTTTCAGTCACAGGAGCCAATCGCCACACTGTACGCAAGGTACACAGAGGTGCTCCTGGCAAACACCAAGTTCAGCTTCCAACTAACACCAACAGTTTTGGGCTTTTTTTTCACTCACTGCCTTCCAGTTGATTCTAACTCCTACTGGCCCTAGAGCACAGAGTCGAATCGCCCCACAGGGTTTTTGAGGATGTCGCTTTTTGCACATCTTCTCCCACGGGCAGCAGGTCTGGTCCAAAAGCCAAGCCTGTAATGAATGTCCCAGTATTTCACCATCAGACTCCTCAGTGATTCCTAGTGGGACCGATAATTTGGAAGGAAATGTAGGGAACAAATTGGTCCCAAGTTCATCTCTGGTGAGAAAGTGTGAGTACAGGTTTATTTACTTATTTGGTTTTTTTAAAAATCGTTTTATTAGGGGCTCATATGACTCTTACCACAATCTATACATACATCAATTATGTAAAGCACATTTGAACATTAATTGCCCTCGTCATTCTCAAAACATTTGCTTTCCACGTAAGCCCCCGGCATCAGGTCCTCATTTTTTCCCCCTCCCTCATGAGCCCTTGATAATTTATAAATTGTTTGTTTTAAGGGCAAGAAAGTCCTCAAAGGCCATTTTAATGATTTAAAAGCTGCATGTGCAATAAGCAGAGGGGATGGCGAGGATGAAATTGTTTTCAGTAGCAGTTGACTCAATGGTTTCAAGAGTGAGGGCAATTTTACCTGAAATTAAAAAATCAAAAAGTGGTCCTTAAGTAGAGCAGCTGTGACCCAGGGACTTGCTCTACGTGGCAGGAATCCTGAGTGCCGGGAAGTGGATACGGGCAGAGGAAAGGACGACCTCCTAACAGACTTCTTACATTTTCACAATGTATTTCTATTTACATTTGGGCAATATTTTTAAATGAAAATAGGAAGAAAGTCAATGAAAACATCTCTCTGAGAATCTG